TATGAATATTTTAGAGGCGAGCAGGAATGGGAGTTCAGGGTTGGGGGGTATGGTTTCAAGGGCCCTGACAGCTAATGATCCACTCAATGACCAGAGAGAGAGAGAGAGAGAGAGACGGGGAATGGAAACGGTTATAAAGATTTTCAATAATCTCCATATTAATGTATTTGACTGGAGTGTAATTCAGTCTGATCAGTTATTAATGTGTGCCACCTATTCTCTTTGTGGAGTGGGAACAGAGAGTGTGTTCTCATTCTTTTTAATCTGTAGATAAAGATGACATTGGTTTGCCTTTATCCTCAATTTGTAGCTGAATTCCCTCCTGTCTATACTGAAAATATGCAGTCTGCTGATTGAGACTGTTCCCTCTGACTATGGCGGCTAATAGCTTTGTCACATCAGTCATTCACCACAGTCTCAGAGCAGAACGCTCCAAAGGGACAGCTCACTGCACAGCAATTTCCTCTTACTCACTAAGATGGATGGGCTATTTTTAATTGCCAATTTAGTTGGTTGAACGCAGGTAATCCTTTGCGGGATATACACTATAGAATATAATGAGTTTGTATTTATCCATCGCTGCTTCCGATTTTGTGAGCATTCCTGTCTTTGGGTTAATGTCTCACTGCAGTTCGAGCTCACGGTATGTTGTGCTGTCCTTTCAGGTGGGATTGAATGTCGCCATGTATGTACAGCTACAAAAAAACAATATCCAAATTAAATGCAGACAATTGAGTGGCCCCCATCCCGCTGCTCTTCCTGTCCGATGTGTAACAAGACAATGGAGTAAGCCACAGGAAGCACATGAATCCCTCCCCATATCCTCATATCAGTCAGCATAGGGTAATGTTCCCGAGATTAAACAAGATATGTCTGGGAATTACAGAGGTCGCCTTATCTAATTGCCCCCCCCTCACTTTCAACTCACAATATCGAGGAAGGCATCCTACGGTGACCTAGAGCGGCAGACGGTGCCCAACCGAAGGAGGCTTTTATTCCCCTCAAGTGAAGACTACGGCACCACAGGGAAAAGAGAGCATGGCTGTAGTGAAAGTCTCTTTAAGATGTTATATAAAAGCAGGGATATTCCTTTTGCAGATAAAAGCTTTCCTATCAGCCGCCTCCCCACGCTGATTTGCCAGTGCGCTCACACTCAAAGAAGCCCTTTGATAAGCACATTAGGTGGAACGGCCTGGACACAATGGTGATGTCATGAGGATTAGCACGCTACCTCGCTCCGTGTAGCGGCGGGCGCAAGGGCTAATTCACAGCAACTGGCGTGCGAGGAGAGCCGGCTGAAATGAGGGAAGGCGGCGGCACAACAGCCGGGTTGAAAAGTAGCTTCGATTGACTTCAAAGAAGGATTGAATGATGCATTAAACATTGTGGTTGCTTTTGCACCCACGGAACATTCGGTGTCATTTCCGCCCGTTCTGCCATCCCGCCGGTGAGGGGCCTGTTATCAGAGTAGTGGTGCGCCAGTCACAGGTCAGGTGGTGCTCCGCCAACTGTGAAAGCTACTGTGAGTGTGATTCAGGCAGCCATGGAAGAAACAGCCTCCCAACGCCTTCCTTTCAAACATCTCCCCCCCCCCACCATTTTCAAGTTCGGCTTTTATACTAAACCACTATCTGTCTCCTTTCACCCTGCTTGTACAGTACATGAATAAGTTAAATGTAGAAAGCTCTCTTGACTCAGGCGAGGGAGAACATTAGAGGGAAATTGTTTTCCAAGACTCACAGCAGCACTGCACGTTGTACTGAAGAAACAGGGGATGTAGGTGGCTTATGCAATGGTTTCAGTCTTATTTTTAATACATGGGATAGTGTTTGCTTCAATTTCGCCATAGGAAAATGTGAGTACGAGCCTTAGAAGTAAATCTAAGGTCTTGAATTGAGCTGTCTTATTAAGGTACCGATGGGGCAGATTATATTTCTGTAAAAAGGAAAGTAGTACGCTGATCACATTCAGTACATTGCAAATGTAGAGAGGCATTTACTTTGCTGAATGTTCCCCATGGTTACAGCCAGTGTAGGTTATTATTCAGGGCTCAGGCGGAGATGGCGAATGGATGTTTTCTTCAGCATAAGGAAGCCTCAAGGCCTCCAGCGACGGAACATGTTTTTTTTAAGAGACATTCAGGTATCACAGGAGGTCAAGTGACGGACACACATACGTGCATGCGCAGACAATGGTGCCCAGTTGGTTTGACGTCAGCCACTCGGAGCAACATTTCTATCAATACAGGTTTGGACTGCTGTGAGAAAATAGCAGTTGGCCTTGTTCCCACTCATCTTTGTGAGCCTCTCAGGACGTTGTGAATAGATTACACAAGTTCCCTTGTCCATACTCTCTCCAGCCCCCTTTCCCGCAACAAACGGCCCATATCGTTCATTAGAAAGGCATCTGAAAATCCCAAGTTGCATTCACATCCAGCCAACTCTGCATTCTAAAGCTGAACCCCACAACTTGATTTGGCAATCGAGGGGAGCTCTTGAAAACTGCTTTGCGTCTTAACTATTCATAAAGTAAAACTAAGTTACATATTTAATTGTCCTATAAATTTTTATGGATGGAAGTTTTTGAAACAAGCAGGATGGGGGTTTTTTTCATTGTAGCGTCTGGAGCAGACTGACATACGAGAGCAATGTCGACGTGGTCCCTTCTACAGCCACATCTCTGCGCCGCTGCCTCTGATTGGCCAGCGTGGGGAGCCAGGTCCCGACAGGTGTTTGGAAAAGGGACACCTGTTTGGCCGTGTGCTGATCCAGTGATCCATTTACTGCGAGCTGTGGCCGGTGTCAGCAGGGCATCGGAAACATGCCAAGTCATTTAACAGAATACGAATTACGGCCGTCAAACGCTGTCCATACACAGTGCATCTTTGTGAAGATAGCACACATTTGGTGATTCACGTATTGTTTCGTGGAGTCGGATCTGCTATCTGGTTATGCTCACCCCCTCTGCTGCTGCAACCCCTTCATCGTGGTGTGCGTGGGTGCTGGCCAGGCTTGTTGTGAAAGTAGAGCAGCCCGGCCCGTCTCACACAGCCATGCGCAACCAGTCCTGACCAAAGTATTCCCATAATGAGTAGGTTGGAAACCTAAATTTGCAGGTTTGAGATCAGATCTTTGGCTCACTGGGGGAGAAAGCGGATCGTTTAACCACAGTAAACACAGGCCTTTCAGGACCCTAACTAGAGAGGGTTCATTCAGTAAACAGGAAATGGACCAGCAAGGGCGTTTTCTTAGAATGAGAAGAATGCCACTGCTCTGTACCGCACCGCAGTAATGCATCTGTGTTACAATGCTGGCCATTCATTATCTAGAGTCTCTCTCTCTCTCTCTCTCTCTCTCTCTCTCTGCATTGTCAACACTTCATATCGTTGAAGAGATGTGGGTTTTTCCTCTACATTATTCCTCCACGTTGTCGTTCTTGTTCCCCTTAAGTACACTGCTTGGAAAAGGTCTGCACCTGAACGCTTGGAGACGGAGTGAGCAGGCCAGTGATTAAGAGTCGTCTGGTTTAAATGAGCGACGATATTATCGACTCTCGTAAAGCCATGCTGCAGGTTTTAGGAAATGTAACTGAGGTTGTGGTGAGCATTGCTGGGTTAGCCACATCGTCTGCACAGACCTACTAGTACTGTTACGTTGGTGTCAGAGGATGTAGCAGCTGTAGAAATACACCCTTAGCCCCCCCGTCCGTTCCTGCCGCATACACACACACCCACACACACACACACTGCACATATGTGCCGCAGACACGCCTGCTCATATATATTCTCTTTCTCCTTTTGCACACACACACATTCTCCACTTTCTTGGGTGATAGAACAGAGAGTGCGGTCTCATTAGTGCGTGTAGGTGCGTAGGTTCCTCTCGCCCGGTTCACACCGTGACCCCGCCCCCGCATCCACCGGGGTCGGTGACCTTCCTGTAGCGGCGCGGCCTCCGAGGCAGCCCGCAGACGGGCAGGGCGCTGCTGTGGACCTGGACTAGTCTGATAGAGGGACCTTGGGAGCCACACATAAATCATGTTTTGATGTACACTGCCTTGATATCACTTGCTGTCACATGCTGTCAGCAGGTCTTGTTAACAACCGCTATTCAGAGCTGTAATGAGGAGCAGAGAACAGCCTGTAAGGAAGTGAGCAAAAGAGCACCGCGTTGCATTTAAGTTGTGTGACATATTTTCTTTCTTTTTTTCTTGAATTTTGAAATAGTGCTATTCTTTACACCCTGCTGTATGTACTTATGAGTGCTTTTCTTTTGCAATAACTAATTTTCTGCTCAAATAATCTTTTATTTATTCATTTTTGACCACATTTGATTAGCATTTTTATCTTCCTTGTGCAATAACATCGATGATATGACTGGACTGTATACTGGTTTCAGACTGGGACTGTCTTGTAGGATCTTCATATGCAGGGGGTTCTTCCAGCTGGTTGACTTATGATAACTGAAACATAATGAAAAATGCAGAAGAAAAAACGGATGGAGTTCCGAAGGGTGGGGGTGGGGGGTGGAAGGAGGCGGACAATATTTTGTTTCTCTCAACACTTCTGAAGGGTGAAAGGATGTAGAGTCACATTTCGGTTGGTGCAGAGCCTTGTATCGAACTATAACGCAGCCTTGCATCGGTGCAGCAGCTGTTCATACTGTGCTGTAAACAAATATAGAAATTGGAGGACAAATATTGATTCCCCTACATGTTTGATATATGTTTTATACATTGGGTAACAAGCAACAAAACGCAACTGCTACATTGTTTCTCTTTAATTGTGCAATTTCCTTTCAGAAATTGAGAAACAAAGGCCATAATGACTGTGCTAGCCCTGATCCTGAAGACTGTTTTGGGCACAGCCCCCTCATGGACGACCATTACGGCAAACTAAACGAAGAGAGTGATTTAATGTACAAGCGCTGTGGTGTAAGTACTTCCTTTTGTCTCCTGCTGTTTTGTGTTGATTCCTGTCTTTATGTTGATGTTCACTACAGGCGCTAAACAAGAAAGAACACAGAGGTTGTGATAGCCCGGACCCCGATGCCTCATATGTCCTCACTCCTCACACAGAAGAAAAGTATAAAAAAATTAATGAGGAGTTTGATAATATGATGAGAAATCATAAAATCGTAAGTACTGTCAATGCAACGTTTTTGCTTGGCTTTGTGGCACAAAGGATTTTCACTCCTTTTTTTTCATTTAACTTTTTCCTCTTTTTGTTACACCCCAGAACCTCTGTCAACTCCTTTCAGAGCTACTCTAGCTTACGATTAATGCCCCCCTTCACTGGGTGTGCGTTTGTTTCTCATGTTGATTTGTTCTGCGACTGAAATTTTGGCACAGCCTGATAAGATCACATTTCATGTGAACAGGTGAGACGTTCCATGCTTCTGCTGGAAAGATTACACCCTAGTATCATGGTCATGTTATCAAAGATCAAACAGCCGTCACTATTTAAACACATCAGGAATGTACAAATACTTGCTCCCGTATCTTAATAGTTTATCCCTAAAGATCTGCGGCGGTCTGTTTATTTTCTGCATCTCAAACCGTGTTTTTATCTCCTCGCATAAAAAATAACAGTCCCTTGGTAAAATTTACAATTTCTCCTTTTAAATCTTTCTATTGCTTCTCTCTCAAAGCATTCCACCGTAAACTATCTGTTACTCCTGAACAGCTCTGGCATCAAAGTGTTCAGAGCACACTAACATTACACTGTCATTTAGCATCTTCTCTCTCCTGCACCAAATAATACAATGGCTCACCCTCTAAAATACCACAAATCCTTTGTGATCTTATCATGCGTGACAATATTAGAATTTTGCCAGAACATTTGCTTACTAAGCAGTCGTTTTCTGTATGTCCCTGACATGAAGAGCATCACTTTGCCATTAACAAACTAATGATAACACCTGACTGGCTCACTAGATAATGCTATGAATAAACGTTCCCACTGCCACCTGTCATCCTCACTTACGCTTTGCACAGTCAGTGCCTGGTAGGTGAATGCAAAGTGAGTCACGATTCTTGCAGTTGTGAATCCCCTCCACCCGTCTCTGCTGGTCCCAGAAACACAATGTACAACAAGTACACATGTAGTGCTGACTGCTGCAATGCCGAAGTGATCACCTGAATGCATGTCTTTTTGTTTGGCGTGTGTTGCGGTAGCACTGGAGATGTGTGTGCCTTCCTTGTGTTTGATGTTAATGAGAATCAACATTTTTTGAAGGTTATATGGCGTCACACAGCACCCCTCGTCTCAGGCAGAAATGTCTCATAAAATGTTTTGTTTTTGAAGCGACAACCAAGTTTAAAATGTCCTTGTTTATTAAAGCGAACCCTCGAGGGATGCTCTCTGTTAATGATGCCATGACAACCACTGACCCATCAGATTCCTCATTAGACCTTGGGTTTTGAGTGTGTTTGTGTGTAAACCTCTGTGTGTGTTTGTCTCCTTCTTCTAGCCCTCAGCATTGCCTCAGCAGAACTTCTCCATGCATGTGGCAGTGCCTGTGTCCAATCCCAATGCCATGTACCAGCCAGGAGGGAGTCTGGGCAGCCAGGCCCTGGCAGCAGCCGCTGCCTCCCTGAGTGACAGTGGGATGCTGTCCCCTCCACAGGCCTCCCTGCACAGGAACGTGGGCTCAAGTGGAGGACCGCAGAGGCCCACCAGTGCAGGTTAGTAGAAAACATCACCTGGAAATTGGTCAAAGTGGTGTACAGAGGATGATCCACTCTGCAGAATTTATTTATTTGATTAGTGTCCTTTTGTGTGTATTTGTATGTGGTAGTATCATCTTTGTTAAAATTCTGATAGCATAAATGTTCTTTTTTTCATTGTCGAACAACTGGTGAGAACGGATGCTTAGCATAGAAGCAGGGGGGCAAGATGTAACCAAAACTTCAAGCCACGTAGTGATCTGACCCCCATTAACACCTTGTTTAATGACAGAACTGAATAGTGTTGCTTTTACTACTCTGAATAATATTTCTGTATAAAACAATGTTTACCAAAGCATTTCTTTCAGATTCTACTTCACATTGACAATAAAACCGGTTCCTTCATGCAGTCGTGTTATAGTTATGGCACATATCCGCACTAATGCCACAGTGCTTTAGCCAAGTTGTTCAGTAGATGTTCAGCCGGGCGCCAGTCTAGCTGTTTCCTTAAACTCACTGTCTTTATGCTAAGCTAGGCTATAGGCTAATAGCTTTTTGGCTCTAGTTTCATACCTGACCATAGACATGGGATTATTGTCAATCCCATCACCTGACTCTCCGCAAGAAAGTAATCAAGCTGATGTTTTGAGCTATTGCTAAAGTAACTTCAAGGTTTTTTTGGTTGTTTCTGATGCGTGTAGATTCTCATAGAATGAGCCGGCTGTGGATGTACACAACCTAAGGACAAGCATGCCACATCACACTTGTTAACACACATATCTTATTGTGAGACTACGTCAGTACTTGTATGACTGTTCTGACTGTCAGTCCAGATGGCTTTTGAAGACTTGAAGATTCAGTTACACTACTAGCAACAAGTAGCGAAATGCTTCATTCAAAATCAACCACATGTAAGAAAAAAACAACTAACACCTCCCAAAGCGCAGGGAGGTCCACTTCATGTCTATTTCTCACACAACAAGCTGTCATTGTGCTGTCATTTCAGTGCATTTCTTGAAAAAGTAGCCACTTTCACGGTAGATGATTTCTAAAAATAATTTCTTCTTGGAAGTGAGTCCTCATACTGGAGTCCTGCAGTCACCGTCTCTGACTTTGTACAGCTAACAAAACACCCTTCTGAACCCGGCTTGATCTAGCTCTCTTTAGTCTCTTTAGTCATACAGTAGAGTACAAATGTTCCCATCATGAGAACACATGCCTGCCTTACGTGCGCGCTGAACTAAGATCTACATGGCATTTTCATGTCTTGTCTGGCATCTCCACCACATGCTCCGCTAGCTTGCAGGAGCATGCAGATGGTTAATCATATCACTCTGTGCATCTCGTTAGGTGGCATGCTGGATAACACAGACCTTTCACTGCCAAGTGGTGTGGGCTCCAGCCCAGCGGGTAAGTCCTCCCGGAGAGATATATTAGCTCTCTGTAGCTCTGCCCAATCGGCCTCCTGCTTAGCACGCAAGCCGGATCGTTGCGTATCCATCTGTGATTGGTCCGAGCCCGTCGTCCCCATCGTTGACCAACGGTGCCTTTGCTTGACTTTCCTCTGCATGCAAAGGGAACTCAAGTGTTGCTCGTCTCCGTTGAGGAAACGTATTATGTGCTTGTTGGATGCGTGGGTAGCAGATGGGAAATGGCTCCGCGGCATTCACAAAGTGTGGTGTTTGCGCTTGAAACTGAACCGAGGTGTAACCGGGCAATTGGCTGCCCAACCGACTGATGAATAAACGCAGCGTTTCCTTGAAACTTGCCACCTCTACGTAGGCCTGCTTCATCCTGTTTCCTTGCCTCTATTGACAGGTGCATCTGTTTCGCCACCCCCCCCCCCCCCCTCCACTACCCTGACAGCCCTTAAAGGGCTGGGCAAGGTCTGTAGGATGCCTAGACCAACATAACCCTTTTGGCATTCAGGCCATGACATCCCCCTAAGTCCTCAGCACACAATGACCGGACAGCCTGTCATGGCTGCAACGTGCTGTGTGAGAGGTGGAGGCAGGTGGAGTTTAACTCTTTCCGTGTCCCTTGGTCCGCTGCACTACATAGAGTGAGGTGTTGTCAAACGCTACGGTATCTAATGCTCGTAGCTTGTTTGGTGACCATAAGAATGTCGGCTTACAGTGAGATATCTGGCCAGGTATTAGAGAGTATGAAGAGCACCTCGGATCGGTTTACAACATTTAAAGAGCGCTGGGTACGTTTTAAGTTCAGGGTGTGGTATCGAGTCGGGATCCTCTGCCAGGGGCCGTCAGCATTTGGCACCGTGTGAGCATGCTGCAGCTGTTGTTTGTACCAAGTGTGTAGAACAGCAGAAAGGGTGGAGGGACCTTTCCAGCCCTGCAGTCACATGACCATTCCTGACATAGCTCCGATGTTTCAACAGTGGCAGCTTTGACCACAGCAGAAGTCTTTGAAAGTGGCTAGATGCAAGACGTGCTGTGTGACATCTTTACTCCTGTTTAATGGTGTCAGCAAGTTCTATATTATATATTATTTATTGAATGGCAAATAGAAGATTATTTTCCACACAGCTGTTGGGTCCTTGTCAATATGGGCAGCTGTTTTAATTGTGGGATCTGGATATGTTATTATTTGCTAATTAGGTAATTTATGACTAATTATTAATTTTTTTAATTTGCCAGCACATGTTCTGTGTGATCATGGCGTAGTGAACATTACTGGCACGATTTGCCAGGCAAACGCATTTCAGACAGTCCTTTTTTAAAATAAGCCATCTGTTATTGTTCTTGTCTAGTCGACTAATTTGATGCTGCTACTGTGGTCTGCATTTCTATAATAGATCTTTTCTTCCAACAGCGCATACAATTAAACCTAATTACATGCTGGTCCATGACTGGTGAACATTTGGAATTAAAGTTGTGGTGAACGTGTCGGATTCATGAGCCTGGTCTCTTGTGAATTACGTCTGCAAGCTGTACACATCTTTTCAACACTATTTGCTTGTGGTTCGTTTGCACGCTCCGTAGATCAGGTAGTGGTGTAAAAAGCTGCACGTCAGGGTAGGTGAAAATAGCTATTTAATGTAGGTAAATTGAATGTCAAAACATGTATTCAAAGTTGTATGGTGATGATAGCGATTATACCCTTGTGGATTTAAAAGAATAGAAAACAAGAACAAATACTATCCTTCTTGCCATGTTCCTTTTAGCCATAACAAATCACCTCCTGCACATCCTGTCTGGTTGTAGTTTTCTGAGACACAACAATAGGGCTATTATTAGAAAACAGTTTTGGGGGCCTTGATTCGCATCTATTATTTCTTGTCATTCGTCCAGACATTTTTCTCTTTTGCCTGGACATGACGCACGTGGGATATTCTATCCCTGAATTTAAAATGAAAACTCAACGTTTCAGTTGTAAACACGACCCGTATGTAATGTCCCTTCTGCGGGCCGTGTTAATAATTCAGCACAACGAACAGAAACCAAACAGCTTTCAACGCGCGCCGGTTTCAGTTGGAGAAGATTTATTGGCATCTACCGAGCCGTTGGTGAAGTCTGAATATGGAACGAGGGCAGATATCCGAAAACGTTCCCGCTGAAAGGCTGGGTCTTAACTTGTGGCTCTTACCGTGGCTCAAAATTAACTTTGCGGGCCGAGTATTTGTTCAGACATGTGTTCCCATCTTGGCAAGTGTTTGAAAGAAGTAGGATTTATGTATCATCAGACATCTGAGGACATAATCAGAGGCAGATTCTGCAAAGATATGCGAGTCAGGTGGGTTAATCCACCGCTAAATGAGCTAGCGAACAGAGCGCTGCTTTCTGTCTGTCCTCAGACCGCAGCCGAGGCCCCTTCAGAATAAAACAACAGCGCTGACCGACTGTTATCGGAAAGTCTGAAACTGCCAAGCTTTAACCAATTCCTTTACATGCACCAACGTCGCATTCCCACTGAATGACATCTTCGCTGCTTTTAATCAGTTTTGCTATTTTTAGGGACTCAGACATTTTACTCTGCTAATTGTGTAAACAGTCTTTTTCTTCTTGCAGCAGCCGAGTCTCGTATGATCAAAGCGTCAAGCGAAGGCCATCGCTGCTTGTATATACTGTTGATTCAGCTGCGAGATACTTTTGTCAGCTCCATAACTGTTTATTTGACCGTGAATTGTTGCTGTCCTTATCAGTAGTCCGAGGGGCTATTGTTCCATTATGTTCCTATGCAGGAGGCTGCTCATTGTGCACACTGGGATACACCAAACACAATGGGGAAGGCCGCAACTTGTCGAAGTGTTACTGATCTGTTGATGCAGCGCTAGGCGCCGTTCATTCTTTCTTCACTTTGTTTTAAGGGTTTCGTAATGTATGTGTTGGTAAGGTGTAGTTTTACGTAGGCTTACACAACTCGAATTCAATTTGAAATTCATGCAGATTTGAAATATTGCTGTTTTTTTAGATAACAAATTCACAGCTCCGTTTTCATAACAGTGGATTTGTTTGGAATCTGCGGCATCTCGCCTTGAATATCTTGCAGGTCTGTTTGTTGAAAACGAAACTACTGTGGGCCAACAAAAACACGAAGAATTAATTTCTTTGTTTCGGTGGAGAAATACTAAGTGAAGACAGTTTCCAGTGACAATTTGCGTTTTTTGGTACTGGTATGATTTATTATTTTTATTATGGACAAGTTGTGTGCGAGGGAGGTGGATGTTGGACGCGGCTCAGGAAATGACCAAAGACTAGTAACGATGACGATTAACGATAAGCATCAAGGTGTGAATTTGTAGTGTCTTGCACTTTGCTATTGTTCGTGGGAACGGTGTTAAAACAGCACCAAGACCATCAACAACACCATCTCTCAGTGTTTTTTTATCCAACTGTAATGGCAGCTATTTCTTTTTAAGCAGTCACGGTACATTTGTCGGTGAACTGCTGCTCATCTCAAGATGCAGAGAATTGACTGATGTAATCATTCACAATAAAAAATAAAAGGCTCATCAATTTTGAAATGGACATTTTATTTTTGTAAATGTGCAGGATAATTATCCAAGTCTATTAAAAACTTCCCAGAGGGTTGTAAACACTTAACGCTGGAGCAAGCTGGAAAAAAACAACGCTGTGTGAGGTGGTTTGCATGGTGACTGCGAGTGTTCTCAGTCACGGTCCGTGGTTTGATGATGTGTTCCTGTCGCTGTGTACCTCTGCAGGGAACGGTTTTGTTAACCCCAGGGGCTCCCCGGGCGTCCTCAGCACCCCCAGCGGCAACGGCCTGGGTAAAGTCATGCCCACCAAGTCTCCACCACCACCTGGAGGGAACATGGGGATGGGAGGCCGCAAGCCAGACCTGAGGGTCGTTATCCCTGCATCTAGCAAAGGGATGATGCCCCCGCTGGTGAGTACGGAGCACACCACTGCACACAAGTGTTCCCAGCCAAAGGACCTTTTAAGTACTGCTGCAGGGCTGACCACAGCTCCGTTTAGGTTCATTCAGACTTCCACAGCGGAATGTTTCGATACCCCGAACATTTGTTCTTCTCGTGCTGCGTTCTTCTTCCACGTGGACAAGAATCTGCAGCCCAGGTATCACAAGTCGCACTAAATAGTTCACATTTACATGAGGGGATTTCTCACACTGCGACAATGAAAGTGCGGAGCGCTCCGACCACAACGAACACCTGAGGCTAAACTACGCTCTTCATCATCATAAATTGACATTCGGGCCCAAAAAAACTGTTCGCCTGGGATTTCTTTAGCCAGCAAAAACATACTGTTGCGTGTTCCTGATGTTGTCGGGAACAGGAGCCACTCCAGGAAAACGATTGTGTTTGGTAAATAAACCCGGGGTTACTGTGGCCGCTCCTCCTTCGCAGAGCTTCGAGCAGCCCGGGGCCCTTTGCAGGCATTGTGTGGGAATGTGGAAACGGTAGATCTGAAACGGGTTCTTCAGAGAGGTACTGGAGTACTCTGATAGAGGCCGCAGAGGGGCGCTGGCTGTGGCAGGTCTGGAGACAGCCTGTCATTAGGCCATAATGGTATTAAATTAATCACATCTCAGTGTGACAGAGTGTAGATGAAGACTTAATCAGGGGCCCAGGGTGTGAGCCAGATAATATCTTGTCGCCCTTGTCGTGTCTTCCTGCCGCTATTGATTGAGTGTGGGTATTAAGAAAGCCCTGGCCTGGTCGCCGTATGTCCCACAGCACCGAAAAGATGGAAGATGGGCTGTGGTTCCTCTTTCAGCACAGAGAGGATTTGAAATCCTCTCCTCTACTTAGTACTCTGCGGCCATTGTTGGTACCAGGGAAGAAATGTATCCGATACCCACAACTAATCTATACACTGGGATCCCTTTTCCCTGGCATTGGTCCAGGATTTGGATCTTTTACATGATAGGGACAAGGTAACGCAGTGCCTGTGCTTTGGAAAAGTTGTTGATTAATACAAGCGGCCTATAAAATGTGTGATTTCACGATGACACACCATTTTATATTCCTTAATGCCCCTTTTACCGTACAATCTAGATAGCTGGCACGACTTTCCAGAGCGATTTGCAGTCGCAGTCGTTCTTTTCTGTAACCCTGCCTTTCTTCTTCTTTTCCGTTGGGGGCAGTCGGAGGAGGAGGAAATGGATTTGGTGAGTTTTGATAAATGCCTTCGGCAAATGGCCACCGTGTGAACATACTTCCGGTAATCACATATGCTAGATTAAAGGCAGTGCTCAAATCGGAGCGTGGCTAAGAAATGCCAATAATAATACATTTTTTTGTCACTGCATGTTTTGGGTTTGGCCTGTGAAATGATTGGGTTGCGATTCCGACACGTCCACGTTAGTTATATACCAACAGGAGTGTGTGTGTGTGTGTGTGTGTGTGTGTGTGTGTCTGAAAACCTCATGTGAAAAGTTTAAGAATTAAAAAAGTGTTGGGTAATATTCCAAATGATTTACAGCTTTTTCTTAGGAAATGGAGATGACATCATCCTAAATGACATCATGCTGTGAGATACTTGGGGTTTGGTAAAGTCATCTGGCTGGAGAACAAAGCAAGGAAGCTATCCACTAGATTATGATGCAATGCTGCTTCAAATGTACCCGTTGGCAGCTGCACATAGGTTTATTACATTGTATTCCGAGGATTTGTCACAGCATTGTTGTAAACTATGACTGCATTTAATTAGTGGGGTTGGAGAGTGTGCGTTTGCGGCATGACCACACCGTGCCGTGTATGTGTGCGTTTGTGTGGACTGCATGCCGGCCACTGCACTGAAAACTGGGGGATTATCCTCCTGCACCCGCTGAGTTAAGAGTTGTTGATTTGATTCGTAAAACTGATCACTAGACTGGCTGTGATCTCCGAATGAGATGGCGATTGATGCTGTGGCATGAGGCTTGCCCATCATGTGCGTTCCTCTCCCTCACTATCTCTAGCGTTCTTTTTTATGTATTGCTAAGCAAAACCTGATTAACTGTGTGTCCCTGTTATTGCATGTCGGTTTTTCTGATGACCACATCTGCCTGTTGTCTACTTACAATGTACATTTCTAATGATTACTGAAATAAATTAGTTACTTTAAAAGCTTGTGGAAGTTATTTGGGGGGATTTACAAGTATGTATGCAGGTTGATTTTTACAAACACATTAATTTAGTGAAAAATATCTGGGTGACATCCCAATAGAGAGCACATAATGAATATCTCTTCCTGTGTTGTTATCCTTGTTTTAATATATCTGTAAACACACAAACACCGTCATTAGAATATTGACTTCCATGAAGCTACACTACCACCTAGTGGCTGCCTTTGTTATTACATCGATAACCTCCACTACCAGAATATGTCCTGCATAGTATATGCCAAATGTTGTCTCTAAATTCGACGATCTGTATATTGCTTATTATTAGAGTGAAGTAGTTTTTCAAGTTGTATTTTGGCCTTATGCCTTTTCGTTATGGTTTCTTTGTGATTTGCAGAACACCCAGAGGATAAGCGGCTCCCAGCCACTGGCCACTCCGGTGGTGTCTGTCACCACCCCGAGCCTGCCCCCACAGGGCCTGCTCTACTCCGGCATGCCCACCTCCTACAACCCAGCTGGTGAGCCTGCCCCCCCCCCCCCCCCTCAGACTGATAACAAGCGCCTTGACCGCACTACACACTGTTGTTTTTCGCTCTTTTCTCAGTGGCACGTGGTGTTGTAGCCAAAACAAGTTCTCACTGCGTTTGGCTGTTTTTGTTTTTACAGAGTTCTCCCTGAGCAGCGCCGAGATCTCTTCCCTACAGGGCTTCGGCTCTCCTGGGCTCTCATTGGGCTCCATGTCGGCATGGCAACAGCATCAACTGGGCCAGGCAGCTCTTAATTCTTTGGTGTGAGTAACACACTTTCAAACAAAGGCACACTCTCCAGACGCCCTCACATCAACGCAACACCCACCGCGCTCTGTGATATCATGCTGAATCGAGATAATCCAGGGATCTCACATTGTCGCGCTTCACATTTGATGTTTTGATATTTACGGACTTAGCACAAAATGTCCTGCTTATGTTGTCTTCAGGGGTGGAGGTCACCTACCTCAGGGCTCCAACCTCTCCATCAACACCAGCCAGAGCATCAACATCAAGTCCGAGCCCATTTCGCCGCCACGGGAGCGCGTCGCCGCCTCTGGCTTCCCGCCCCAGCAGCCGCAGCAAGGCTCCAGCCGGCAGGAAGTCCTGGGACGTTCGCCCGCTGACAGCCTCAGCTCCTCCTGTAGCTCTTACGACGGCAGCGATCGCGAGGACCACCGGCCGGACTTCCACTCCCCGCACGGGCTGGGCAGGCCCCCCGCTGGCTCCGAGGACCGGGAGAGCCCCTCGGTCAAGCGCTTGCGCATTGACACCTGGGTGACATAAAGAGCCCCGCCGAAGCCTCCAGTCACCAGCCAGTCGGAGAGGGGGGGGAGGGGTTAGACGTGGAGATAAAATAAAGAGCGAGGGTCCTTAAAGCTATTAGTAAGATACTATTATTCAAGTCTATTTCAATTTGTAAGATGGCCGAGTGGCAAATATTATGAGACGTGTCAGGACATATCTAGTGAAGTAAATCCTCAAACTGATACAGAGAGAATACAGGAATCTCAGTTCGCTGGACTGAAGGATATGCACAAGCAGGTGGCGTCAGGTACTTGGTGCAATTCAGATGAGAGATGTTCAAAGCAAAATGGTTAAACAATAAGGCGGTAGATTATTGTAGTCACTGGTCTAGTCAGACACTTACATGTAGTTGCTGTATTGCTGTTGTGCTCGCAAGTTGCAATCAATCAGAAAAAGTTGTGTTGCTTTCCGGCTGAGGACCCGTACATATGACGTTCACTGCAGAACTATCTTTTAAATCCTGCTGTAACCACACAAGAGCTTTATCTCAAGTGGCCTCTTGTAAAGTTAGTGATTCAGGAGACGCAGAACACAGAGTTAATTAAGTCTATAAAGAATTTGGATGACAGTAAATAACAACAGTTGAGACTACTTTAGTGGACAAATAAGGAAATACACTTTTTTACTGCAGGTAAAAAACAAAATAGCAGCTGACTTTATTGCAATAATGACATACTATTCATTTTATGATTCAAAAGAGTAGGATATATAAATGTGTAATTAAGATAATGCGAACCTGTCCAGTTGAGCTGGTGAGAAAATCAACAGTTCATCAGTAATATAAGCCAAAGCTGTTCTTTTGTGTTGTTTTGTACAGTTGCTACGGTTTCCTAAAAAGTCACTCAAAGCACCATTTCTGTCATCGGTTTTATTTTTTATTGTGCTTTATTGCAAACCGTGTAGTTGTATGAACCAGATCTTGAATCGATATCTAAAGCCATGAACATTTGCTGTTCTGTCTGTATAATTAATAATTTGAGCCAAACATTTTTTGTTGTTGTGTATATAGCGACTTTAATATATATCACCGGGGTGTGAGTACTTACTGAATGTACTGTACCAACACCGTTTTCAAGAAAAGTATATTTTTGTGGATTTCAGCCAAGTTTACAAGAGTAGACCCTTAAAAAGTAGATCATTCACTGGTCAATATTTGCTATTTCGTTCATTTTACTGTAATCTCTTCTAAATTGAATTATCAACATAATCTCCCATGTGGTCAATTATTTTTTTCCTCTCTTTATTAGTGATGACTGTTTGTCCTGAATTCATTGTACTAGCAGTGCTTTTAGGTTGAAGTTCCACTATTTTCTAACGGGTGATCACAAGGCCGGAGGGGGAGAAAGAGGGTTTCCTCCCTCTTATTGTAGTTGAATACCAGCAGCTGCTGAAGAATGCACTGCCAACATTCAAACCCACGGTCCCCGCCCCACACTGAAGAATAATCCATTGTTATTGCATGCAGCTCAACTGAAAGACATGTCATCTCTCAAGCCCCTTTCCACTGTCTTGTGTTGGTTCGCTGAATTAAGGCAGAAGACAAACGGTGGCAGCGGTGGCCGCTGACCTTCGCTCCAAACCGATCATGCCCGTGCTAAGACGCGTACGTGGTTGTAAATATTGCAGTCAGTCGTTATGTGCAAAATTACTCGTGTGTTTCCTTAATTGGCCCCACCCGGAAATTGTATCTCATATCAATGCCCTACCAGTAAGACGACTCTAGGCCTTCGGAGCTGGAAAAGTGACAACTGGGTGGCGCGAAGTCACGTGCGCAGGTGTTGCAACGTTTTTTGGCACACCGTGCAGAGACTCTTCTTCTTCTTCATCGTCACAGGAGCAGATAATCCAAGCGGATAAATCGGAAACACTCCCAATGTCATTGACCCCAATCTCACTGCTCGATTGCACACATTTGTATGTGAAGTTTGCTGTACGCGAAAGGTATCGCTCCGCATTCACCGTGACGTCTCTTGGGCGTGTGTTTCTGAGGTTTCTCCGCCCCACCGTCAGCTCCACAGTAGTCCTCGATATACAACCGCAAGGATCTATGCAGTTTTAGCCCCAATTCATAACACATATGCATACGCTATGATGTCATTACAGGCCATATTTAGGCCACAAAATCGTCAGGAAGAAGAGCATTTTAGGATTGACTGTTAGCCTCTTATCCTGAAGTGCCACAGGTGGCTGGACTACAAGTTACATCTAAAACATTAGATTAAATGATTTATTTGGATACCCCGGGGCAATTTCTTCATGTTCATATACATAGACATACTTTACATAATATGTAGTGATCCATAATGTAAACCCAGTTTAACAAAGCAGGTGAAAATAGCAATAATAAAAGACTACAACAAAATGAGTCTGCCCGTCTTGGCAGCACCACCTCGTAGTTGAGCACACACTTTAGCACTTGATGACATATCAGGGAGTTTTGTAGTTTGTTGATCTATATGCACAGTTAGGAAATGCCTTATCCCAAAGAAAAACTATATTCACCATTTTTATTTCATTTTTTAGACAATACAAATATCACGCAAACTTAACCGGACCTGCCTCTCCTCAGAACCGACCCGCCTAAGAAAATGCACGGTGAATGTACGGCGATACGTTTCCCTTTGCACTTTTGGTCCACGTCCAAACTGTGCACAACTGATGAATGTGAAAGGAAAGGGTAATCAATGAGGACTTTCTTCACTTTGCTGTGTAAAAGTACACTGCTTTGCTTCATGGCTTTTATAAACAGAACTATGTGTTTGGTAAGTGTTTGTAGTTGATAGTTCACTTAATTAAAGAAGCTGTTTTCGGTTTGATTGCTCAGACCGTTTGGCGGCACAAGCTGGACTTTGTTGCCAATATTGAAATAATTTGTTTCAAAATTGAAAGAAATTTAAAAGTTCTAAACATTTTCTTTCCCTTGAATGTGTTTTATTTTCATCATACAAATAAATATTCAAGTGAACTTTTTATTAAACAATTAATATACTAGATATTGTTGTACAAAATTTGTATTCTTCACAAAAGTACAAATATTGGCTTTTAATGTGTAATTTAGGTTATCTCTCATTCTGTATAAAATGAAGTAAACAACTCTTGCATAGAATTTGTTCTTCTGTAAAGTCCCTAACAGTAGAAAACTGTCAACTTTATTAAACACCTCAGTGTATGCTCAATCTGAACTCCATGTCTATCTTTTTATTTCGCCTCGCAATTGAGTTTCTGTTCATCGCTTGTTTCAAATAGAGCACTGTAGCCGCTGCCAGTGTGACGGTAAAGATCTCCATCTCACTGACTTTATGCATCAACATTCTTTGACATACTCTTTTAACAAAATACAATGAAACAGCAGCCCTTGCCTCAACCTAGTAATAATAAAAACTTACATTAATTTAATTTTTGGATTCGCATAGTTTCAACCTCCACTAATACTGAACACAATACATATAAGCGACTTATACAGTATGCAGGAAATAAAGTTACATGATGAAGTTATGATTTGACATGAGTTCTGCAGGACGAGCTGGTGTAATGCCGCAGTGCGGCCAGCAGGAGGCGCTGTAGCACAATACATCACACACGGCTGCAGCACGTTGGCCTGCAGGCCCGTCACCTGAGCTGAGCTGAAGGTAAGTTTAGTAACTCCAGATATTGAAGAAAGCTGTAGGCAGCTGGTACAATGCTTAACGGTTTGTTATTTCAACGTCAAGTCGGTCCTTACAAAAATAAAAGACGAGGATAAAATGCGCTTCACTTCATAGGTTAGAAACATCGTGAACGCTCTTGAAATATCCGACGCATTGCGGACTGAAAATAAAACCTCCAAACAAACAACTTTAACTCCTCATGCGTAGTTCAAGTTATCCGAATCAGTTAACGCTAAAGCACTTTTACTTTTGGTGTAAAAGTACATATGCTGGACTTAATTAACACTATGTCCAGTTCTGTCATTGCTACTCGTAATCAGCCTGAAGAGAAGCACTTTAACTCAAATCAATTAACCGGAAAACAGGGGGTCATCTGTGTAATTGACAACCTCGCTCATACAGGGTACTTTTCCGCGTGAAGGCTGTGTGTGTGTGTGTGTGTGTGTGTGTGCGCGCGCATATCATTCACTGAACGTGTCCCCAAGTGCATGTACTTGGCTCCCTGTCAATCAAACCAGCTGCGTTGCAGTCTGGAGCAGCTCCCGTGCGCACGCGCAGAGGGTTCGCGGCTGTTTGAGCAGTGTGAGGAGGAGGGTGACAGGCCACCTGCCACAGGGGGCTTGCCCCGTTCAGAGCCACAGCCCTGCCTTTCAACTGGGAGCCAAGTGCGGGTTCTCTCACGCGGGCCTGATCTCCTTAAGACGTCGGCAAATATTGAACAAGACTCAGTCCAGACTCCCAACACATCTGTTGTCATATAGCCTCCGCCGATAGGCACAGACAAGGAGAGTGAGGGATGAACACCAGTGGCTCTGTTGCTTTAGCTTCCATGTGTGGACTGAAAGCTATACTTTATACTCTGCAAACACCAATGCTCACTTCTGACGAGCTTAGGCAAAACCACGTTCCTCTGTAAACAAATATGGGGCTGTGCGAAAGAATTCGGTGTGACAAGTCAACCTCCGACTGCCAGATCCGCGCTGGAGATCAGAGATGCGATCAGACGAACAGATAGCCAACATTTCACTTGCCTCAGTTATGTTGTAGAATCCATCAGCAGTATTTTGGGACCGTTTTGGACAGATAAGAAGGACAGTTGTATTGTAGAATTAGGGTAGATTATGGAATTAGTATTTTTCTGAAATACTTTGAGCTATAAGAGAACACGTATTGGAGGACGTGTAATGCATGCGGGTCTTAAAACAGACAAATAGCCTCACAAATGCAAACACGTGATAAAGTCAACAGTAAACAGGCAGACAATAAGCAGATTGTGAGCTGAATGATTTCATCATGGCGTTGGTGCTTCGCTGTGCCTTTTTTTTAATCTCCAGCCACCGTCTTTTTATATATTTAACGTTTGTTGTCGGATTCACAACTGAAGTCGGCTGGTATACAACTCAATCCATCACGCAAAAAAACCAAACTCTGCACATAACTGAGCCGTTCCTGTTGAAACTCACCTTGTGTGACTGGAACGACCAGTTTGGCCTCGCCACCAATCACGGGCCTTCATAGTTGTCATGAAGCAGGAAAGAGCACAGACGGCATGCGTTGCTGCCTGGAACACCTTCATTCGACCCGATAGTCAAGATGCTTGAGCTGCCTCTCAGGAGAGGTTCTGTCGCTCTGGTTGGCGGCTGATTCGCTGTGTGTGCCTTTTGTATTGGAAAAGGTTGACTCGACAGGTATCGTATCGTGCTTTCGTAGTCTGATTCATACTCAAATAGTTTGGGGGATGGGGAGGTTTACTTAGACTGGTTTTGTGGATTGAGATATCCTGCCGATGGTAAAAGTGTTCCATGATTATTCCATGAAAATGTAGCCGCCCGCTCACTTTTTGGTTATGCTAAGTTCGTATTTAAGGGCAGAAAATGTGGTGCCGATTCAAATTGCAGAAAAAAACCCAGTTTTCTTTACCATTGTAAAGACAACCAGGAAAACATGCTGTTGAAGAAGCTGTGTTAATTATTGGTCACCTCTCGTACATCTGATGTGTGGCGTGTTTGTTTGGCTCATAGGACACCGATTTCTTTCCCATCTGACAGTTATCGGTCAAGATGGATGTCAAAAAAAAGAACTTCTTGGAGAACTTTCGTCTGCCTAAGCTCAACCTGAAGAAGAGGGCCAAGCAGGGCAGGAAGCCGGGCAAGAAGCTGGCCTATCGGCGCAGCATTTCTGTACCCGACCTCAGCCTGGTGCCCGTTGACGCGCTCCCCTCGGACGGCACCGCGTGGCCCTCTCCTTCCGAAGGCGTCTCCCTCGGCCCCTCCACCGGTCAGAGCGATTCTGACTCCGTGGCGAGCGGCTCGATCGCCGATGGAAAGCTTTACACGGACAGACTGAACGATTCCTTCTCGGACAGTCGACTCAAAGTCCCCTCCGGTCACAGGGATGCTGCTTGAAGCGAGTCAGTGCACCGGTGGGATCGCACTGTTACGAGGAAATCGATGGTATGATGGGTCCACGCCCGCAGAGGACTGAGACTGAAGATCTGTATGCACAAGTAGATCCCCAAAAAAAACTGCCGAGGTTTGTTTTTGACCCAATTCCTGCTCCAAGATCTGCTTATCCCAAAGCGATGTCCCCAAGATCAGACATCGCAGACAGACGCAGCGTCTCCGGCGAAGACGCCCCAGGGGACAGAGTGGGTCCAGGTGCCGTTGCTGCGGTACTGGCGAGAGCGAGCTCAATGGGGGAACAAATAAAACCGTACACGGAAAAGAGGGGCACGTCGTTTGAGTATAAAAAGTCCTACTCTGAGAAGGGAACCCCGCCGGCCATCAGGCTGAACGCGCCTTCCAGGTCTGTGGCGCCGGAGACCTTTGGTCCTCCTGCGGAAAACGCAGACGGCAACTCTTGGGACTCGGACTGTGGCAGCGCCACCGAGGAGCGGGTCAACCTGTCCTGTAACACGGACTCGGAGGGCCGGGAGATCTCCTGGCGCTCCGCGATGCGAGACTTTACGAGCGAAGCGGCTCTGCTGAATCAGGCTGAGGAGGCAGAGGAGGCCCAGGAGGAAACGGCGGAGGTCAGTTTTTACTACAAGTGTATTTACAGCACACGGGTAATAAGATGATCCTAATCTCAAAAGACGTCTGCGTGTAACGTAGACTGCGCTATTTCAAATTTGTGATTTCCTTCTACAGTGATAAATGAAATCCCTTTTAGAGCCCCTACTGTTACAGAAACGGGATCTCATAAGCGCATTTAATGTATGCTGAGACGGGTTGTATAGGCACACTTTAATTTCCCTTTCAAATGGGTGGGGTTTGCTTTTTCACACACTCCAGCTGTCAGCCCAAGCGTTGGCCTCGGCCTCTTAATACGGCGAATGGCGTGAAATCCACATTCCTCTTCTGAACCTAAGCTCGGGCTTGTGGGTTTATTACACTTTATCCCTGTAGCACCGACATAGAGACCGTTTATAAACCTGCTGTGACCGTCACCACTCGGCTTGCAGAAGCATCGTATCATGGATGCAGACGCTTGGTGTTAAACGTGGAGTGACCACGTGGGATTTGATTTCATGCAGAGCGGCGGGGTGCAGCTGGAACTGCGACGTCTCTGTCCTCTGTTGTGTAGATGCCTATTACATAACAGTCACGAACTTGAATTACTAGTTCGAGACACAATGGGCAGGGAGTGCTGTGGGCAGTTTGAGAATTCACTGCTGTTTTTTTTAATTTACGTTTTGTACATTTGCATTGGTCGTCTCCCTAAAATACATTTTCCATAATAATGACACATGCTTTTTAAGAGTGAAGCTGTACACACAGCTACTTTAGGCTCTTATCTCAGCTGGACGAGTTTATTAGATGTTTGCCGTCTGATAAAAAATCACACATTCTTTTTTTCCATTTAGATGTCCAGTGAAACGTGTGACGTCTTTGATGAAAACCAAGATCTTCTGGAAAACCCTGTTAGTACGCACTGCCCACCGAAGTGAAGACCAGCACCTGATTTAGCACAAGTACATAACTGAATTGCTCTTAAAAACAGGCTTTCACAACCGGGCCTGACGTCCAGACCCCCGATCCGACGCAGAGATACCTCCTGAACATCAACCTGAATCAGGGAAAGAACCTGGTCATCAGAGGCAAGCGCTCCGGTAGGTCACGAGGTCCGTAGGCGCTCGTCTGTCACAGCCCCTAAAGAGTGAGACGCTGCCTCACCCGGAGTAGATAATTGCTAACTTCTTATAAGCAAACACCAATCTGTGCTGAAAAATCTGGGCGAAAACTTGCACGCATCATTTCAGATCAACAGATACCAGATCAGGTGTGTTTACTTTCTAGAGGAGTGCAGTTGTTGGTTGGTTGGCTTGTGGCCACAGCTGAAGGGCGAGTGTTTGATGAAACGCGCAGGTACACACACCTTGGTTATCTTGTGTTTCTCAGCCAATCGGACAGTGGACAGCTTTTCTGGGAAATGTGTTATTTTCTATAAAGAAGATGGACTTTCATTCAATGCGTTTAACATCTTGTAAATACTTCTCAAGCCTTGCAAACCCTAGACAAGTATCCAGTCCGACCGGTATGACAGACTGGGCTGAGGCATTTCACCTGCGTCATGATCTGAACAAGGAACTACTGCAAATGATCTAAACCGGTGGGAAAGTGAATGGTATTTGCTGCCTATTACTGTATTCTTTGCTTGATTTAATTGGCAGTAAAACGGCCATAGTTCCTCCTTTATGGCTTAAGGGCTTTCTCAAAAAAGAACATCTGTCTCATAGATTTGAAAAAGAAAAAGTTGTCCTACAAGTAAAAAATTAGAGTGTATTTGAGAGACGAGTGTCAAAGTGTGAAATTCAAAATGCAAACCTTTCTGAGGCTCACAGCGTCCTCCGGTGGTGAGAAGCTGCGGCAACAGGAGATAATTAACTGATGGATAAATGTATTTTATCAATCCCATAATAGGAAATGATTGTGTTACAGTAGCAGTTAATAGACAATGATTATATAAAGCAGCACTAGAGATTATTACTATCTTGTAATTCTACCTCACTACACCAAATATTCAAAATATTAGTAGGCGCCCTACTCCCCGCTAGTTGAGACCTTACTTTCCCTGACAAGATGGCACCACGATGATGCAATCCCCACACGCCCCCTGTCTCTGCACTGTTTGCCCAACAATCCACACCGTGCCAAAGGCTCACCAGTGGCACTCATTGTCATTACATATTCTGAAAGGACCCACGCCACCGCCCCCCCCACCTCCTCCCCTCCGCCCCACTCCTTGGTTTTTGTTTCCCCCCCTTTTTTCCCATTAATTTCCATCGTCACCGTTCTCAGTCATGCCAGAGCTTTTCTCCTTGCTAGCTGCCACATTCTCCTCCTGTCAAGTTGCCTGGAGGTTTCCCTGTCACAGGCTGGCAGGGTGGAGCTGCTGTGGGTCCTGCCTGCCTTTGCGAGATGTTCATTTGGAGTGGGGAGCTGACAGGCCTGACAGCCCATCCCCACAGGGCCTTTGTCATGTGATTCAAGCCTCCCTGCAGGCTCTCTCAAGCACCCCCTTTATTCCCCTACACAAATGAAGGCATGGGACCGGCTTTCCCTCCTTTTTTTTTTTTCCGGCCAATCTGCATGCAATTGCAGAAACAAAGAAGTCCCCACCCCCCTCCGCCCCCCACCACCCCGCTCGCAGACAGACTTTCTTAACAGGCTTGAGAGATTAACACTGGTTGCTTCTAGATTTTAGTTTCTGGTCGCCTCATGCTGGCGAGTGTTTCTACTCCTTCAAAATTAAACAGTTACATCCCTATGCTTTTGCCATGTGCGGGGTGCACCCCCTCCTCACACATCTCTCACACAGTCATCATGGGGGAAGGGTGTGTTTTTGTATAGAGTGTACATTTTTAAAGTGGCAATGTCTTCTACAAAGTAGATTGAGTAGATATGTTTTTATTAATCCACTATATATTTCTATGTAAATCAGTTATACACAGTGGTTATGGTAATGACCACCTGTCCCACACAACATCATCTAATGTATTGTTCTTATTTCTAATTTGAAGGTAACAGTGATCCTTACGTGAAGTTCAAACTTGAAGGAAAACAGTTCTATAAAAGCAAAGTGATTTATAAAACCTTGAATCCACGATGGAACGAGTCCTTCTCCCATCCTCTTCGAGACAGAGAGCATGCCGTGGACGTTCGGGTAGGCGTCATCTTGCAATCCCAGCGTGTTCTTCTGCAGAAGCATACAATTTCTGTTGCTCACTAAATGTGAATATTGTTGCAGGTCTACAATAAAAACCGGACCGCTGATGAGTTCATGGGTTCCAGCAGTATCATTCTGAACAATCTTGAATTATACAAGTGAGGAAGATATCCTGATTATTATATTTTTAAGTAATGGATCATTGTGAGGATGTCCATAAGTGTCCTTTCGGCCTCTCCACAGGACCTATGAAATGGAGCTGCAGCTCGACAATCCGAAAAGTAAAGAGGATCACATGGGAGTTATCGTGGTTGACATCTGCCTAATGTACAGAGATGCCACCATCAAGAGAAGCCCTGTGAGACCGGTTCCAATCTGTTGATGCAGTTCTGTGACCCCAGTCTTACCTGAATTGTTTGTACTGATATTTTGTATTTTGTCCCCCCATAGAGATGGCCACCAAAGAAGAACAAGGTATGGCTTTGTTTATCGTTTCTTTTTTTTTTCTTCTAAAACTACTTTCATAATTTCCAAAATGTGGACGGAACGTCTCTGTTATCCTGATCTGAAGCACTAGGGGGCAGTAGCTCACTGTACTATGGTGCAACAAAGAACGAGGCGTATGCTCAGGACTCGGGCTTTTGTGTATAACCTTGGTTTCACGCAAAGCCTATTTCTTTTGTGGTTTCATAGTGAACCTTTTTTTTTTTTTTTGCTGTGCATATTATTTTCAGGGTTATCATTTGCTGTGACAAAAAGCGTTACAATATTACATTCTGATCAAAACCGAAATAATAATATTGACTGAATACGTACATGCAAGGGCCTCCGATGAATATCACAGCACAGTATTTGGTTTTGTAGTAAACAAAGTTCCATATCCTCTCAAGTGGTTTTCAATATCTGGCAGCTGTAATTAGATTCAGAGCGAAACAGGAGGGTTGCTGTTTGGGAGTCGCTCTGCAGCGAGTGGGTTTATATTCACACCTATGCAGTCAATACATCTGCCACTGTTCGGTCTCTTGATGGTCCAGTAGACATTCTCAATTTGAAATTAGATGACAAAGGAACGAAGCCATTTTCGTACACGTTGCGAGTTACCCACTGCAGATGGTTAAAGATACTCAAAGGAGACGGAAATGTGTGATGGGACTCTTCACAATGTTCGGCTGCCTAAATCGCGGTGCTAATTTAACAATGTAACAATGCCATTTTTTTGTCCCCGTTTCATTTTTGACAAACGTACAATATCTCATTGCATTTAACACCTATCCTGCAAGTGCTGAACACCCAGCTCTTACAGCTCCACGCCCCCTCTCTCAGAACATCGTTTTCTCCCTCTGTGTTACCACCACCACAGGGACGGGCAATGGCAAGTGCCGAAGTAAAACTCTGCTGTGTGATAGTGTTTCAAACAGGAGGGGGGGTGGGAGGGGCGGGGAGGCTCTGCTGTTCGAGGCACGATGCCAGTGTGGGATGCCTAAGATCGGCTCTGCTGATAATTCCCAGGCATAGCGGGGCAATAACCCAGATGTTGGGATGTAATATCACAGCTGTGGACGGACAGTGCCGAGGTACTAGCCAAATGGACCTGGGTCTGAGCTCATCGTGCTGGTCCCCATGCTGTCCCACCATATGGAAGCAATCGCACAGCCCTTTTAGGACCAGGAATAGATTCTCTTTAGGGGCCACTTACAGTTAAGTGGAATTGTTTTATTGGCCGCTGAGATAGAAATGCGTCCAAGATAAACACTTGGGATGACTTGGCTGAGGCCTGTTTTATATCGCCGCTCCACTCCCTGTGTTCCTCTTCTTTTTGAAGGGGCCGATATTTATAGGGCCGTGCCTGCGGTATTCCATGTTAATTCAGGTCCCTGAGACGTGCTTTGATCCCCCTCCGGATTGGGTGGCAATGTGGGTTGTGACCCCGCGGCGAGGAGGAGGGGCCGGAGTGGCAGGGGAGTTGTTGGCGGGGGGCCGTTTGAAGCGGCGTCGCCGGGGCAGTCGGAGGAGCCGGGGGGCAATCAAAGAGGCGAGAGCAGATTACGGTCCTGCTCTTTAATTACAGTCGGCCTCTCTGCTGTTTGTTTTTACAGCCCTGGCCTATCACCGCATGGCCTCACGGGAACTCTAACAGGGAAACATATCAAGGCCTCGCTTTCTCACTCCCCCCGTGACACACGGCAGGAGAAGTGGAGGATTTGCCGGGCTTGTCCTTGATTACCAAAGAGTCCTCAACACCTTTTTTTTCTTTTCTTCGTAGATTCAAGACAGATTTAGTTGCAACTGTTTTGTTATTTTGCTGGTTAGATAAATATTGGAAGAATTTGTCAACACGCAGTAAACTCTGATGCCGGCCATACATACGGCATGTATGCATAATTTGCTGACGGGAGAGCTGTGCGGTTTGCATCATTACTCACTGCTGCCTGCTGTCTCTTGTGCAGTATGCCAAGTGTCCTGCCTCCCCACACTCAGTCTGGGAGCCAGTGATGAGTGGGACTGTCACAGCCAGGGACATCTGGCTGCTTGCTGACGTTCCTCTCTGCCTCGCTCTCCAGGAGCCTCCGTGGTGTGGCTTACCTGTCAGTAGAGATGTGTTAATGCGCTCCAACACAGACGCGCTGCACGGTGTGGACCTTTTGTCCTACTTTCACGCACTCTGTGAACATTACGAGGTGACAGGCCGGGGGAGAGCCCGGAGCGTCCGCACACGTTGAGCTTTTTAACCCACCCCATCCCCCCAAAATGAAAACTGTTTCTTTCCTGTGTGCACCTGAATGGACCAGGCCTTATCATCCTCGCGATCGGCTGAGATGCAGAAAAACTCGACGAAGAACCAGATGTGGACCGGGGTGCTCGAGATTACCTTGGTAGAGGGACAGGACCTGCCCCAGTACGGCCAAGGGGACATTTACGTCCGCTTCCGCCTCGGCGATCAGAAGTACAAGAGCAAGGTTGGACCCCGTTTCTTTTTCTTCCCCTACTTCTCCCACGCTCCCTTTCCCTCGCGCTCCCGTTTCTTCACACTTCAAGTCTTTTACTACGTCGTACTTCCCCCGCTCCTCTCGCTCAGCAGGTGCCTGTCAGTGGCTCACCTCCACCTTGGCTCACTGGGCCATGGCAGAGGCAGCTCATTAGACTGGGCGAGGCTGCCACTCACGTCTCTCTGCGCCGCCGGTGCTGGGCTTCATTGCCTTCATTTGCATACCCAGCATGCCCTGTTCATCTACCTGTACTTGCTGGCCTCCCTCCCGACGGTCCTACGGCGCACGTGTCTTGTGTTGTCGCGTCATTTCTTTGCAAACCTCTCTGCTTTCTTCTCTGCTGGTTGTTTGTTGGACAAAGCTGATTCTAATTGGAAGCTGTCAGTGTTTTACAGTCCCAGAGTGGCCACTGAGGTGTACACACACACATAGAGACACGCACACACAACACACCTCTCTTTCTCCTCTCCTACCTTGCTCTGGTTGGACTTAATTTAGCTGTCATGCAGGAGCCGCCCAGTCAGATAATGCATTGAACCTGATGTTGTGTCAAAGTGTGTGTGTGTGTGTGTGTGTGTGTTCCTTGTTAGTGCGTGTGCTGAATATGTGTCTTAACTGCCTTTCAGAACATGTGCATTCAGGACAATCCACAGTGGAGGGAGCAGTTTCACTTCAACCATTTTGGAGATAACCTGGAACCTCTGCAGGTGGAGGTGTACTCCAAGAGGGGGAGGAAGTGTGAGGAATCGTGGGGGATGTGAGTGTTTCCTGGTGGGACGTTCACATTTGGTCTCCCATTTGCTCCTCCACAGACCCAGTTTGCCTCACGTGTTTGAATGGAACTATTTTCCTTCTTGTGTCTCAGGGTTGAGGTCGACCTATTGAGACTTCCACTTAATGAGATGCAGCTCTTCACTAAAGTGCTGGACCCTGGAAAGGGCAAGCTGGTGTTTCTGGTCACCCGGAGACCCTGCTGGGGAGTCTCCATCTCTGACATTGAAACAGCTGCCTTGGAAAAACCTGATGAGAAACAAGCCATATTGGAGAGATTTGTAAGCCCTTTTTTTGTTTTATTTTCATATATTGTCAAATATTGGTATCACAACCCAGTCCCGTTGGGGGGAGGTGGGGTCAATGTCAATGTTTTAAATTAAGAAATACAACGGATTTCATAAAATATACATTCACAAAGAGACCAATAATGTTTTTATTGATTTTCTTTTTTTTCAGAGCTTAAAGAACTCACACAAGTGTGTGGGAGAGGTTGGCTTCCTTCAGGTCAAAGTTGTAAAGGCAAATGATATTCCTGCCACAGATCTCAATGGTAATTATCAGAACTACTCACTTTGGTCTTCTATCACAATGGTCATTTAAAAAAACATGTCATTTGCAGGAAAAAGCAACCCTTTCTGTGTCGTGGAGCTCGCTAACAGCAAACTTCAATCTCACACGATCTACAAGACCCTCAATCCGGAGTGGAACAAAGCCTTCACATTGTAAGTAGAACATCTGGAAAAAGGCATCATTCTCATTTCGTGTGGTTTATTTTAACAATAATGTTTATTAACTCTTATGTTACAGCCCGATAAAGGACATTCATGATGTGATAGAGTTGACTCTTCTTGATGAAAACGGAGACAAAGCCCCAAACTTTTTAGGAAAAGTGGCAATTCCGTTACTGGCTGTAAGTTTACTTCTTTAAATCAGCCACGACATTACTATTGTGACAGGATTTATTTGGCAGTGCATATTAATATCTGATTTAAAAATATGTATTTGTTTATTGTAAAAGGTAAAGAATGGGAAGCAGGTATGCTTGTCCTTGAAGAAAGAAAACTTGGGGGCTTCCTCAAAAGGAACCATCACACTGGTGCTGGACGTGATCTTTAACAAAGTAAGGATCAAACTAAATAAGCTTGTTCAAAAGGTGATAGTGTAGTTTATTTTGTCGAGGGGTGAAAAGTGTTATTATTTCCTTTTTTTGTCCCAGGTCAGAGCTGGTATCAGAACCTTCCAACCAAAGGAGTCCACATTAGTGGAGGAAAACCAGAAGTTCTCCAAAAAGGTCACTTCTATTGATGATTTTAGCATTATTTAGCAGAACAAAACAAAGAACAAAGCTACACACGGTCACAGTTTGGATCGGCCACCGTCCAGCTAATGCCTTTAATGTGCTTTGAACATCTAATTTCACAAGTAGCCAATACGAGATTGTAAAGCTCATTGAACCTCATTGCAAAGTGAGAAACATTATGTCCAGTATCAAATGATACTAACCGGTGTTTTGTTTCCGATTATTTCCCCTTAGGTTCTTGCCAGGAATATATCCCGGGTTCGAAATATCAGCACGGCGGTTCTGTACACGTTACAGTACATTAAAAGCTGTTTCCAATGGGAGAGCAGGCAACGGAGTCTAATAGCCTTTCTGGTAAGTCATTGTCTCACGTTAATGAACTCCCTTTCAAGCCTCGGGGCAAACAAGTTTTGTCCCATCGCACCGAAGTCCAGTTTTTAACTCTTTCATTTCACGTGACTTAGATTTGGGGGGAAAATCTTTGGTTTAGTCATTTTCTCTCTCACGTCTTTTTCCCATGAATCACCATGTCTGCCGTCTGTTTTCATCCCGTCCGCGCGTGATGGATGTGCTCTATCCTTTAAATCAAACCCCACTTGGCTTTGCTTCACTTCAGATGACATTAGAGCGTATTTGAAGGGATGGGGTTTGCACGTTTGTACATCTGACTTCTTAGCAAAGCCTCCCAGCCTTGCAGGATGGTGTAAGGAGGATCACAGTCTCAGCTTCCTTGGGTGGAAAAGTGACAGTCTGCCTCCGAGATTTGAACCTTGTTTAAATGTCTCTGTTTAGCTGTTTTTAATGAGTGTATATGATCTAAGGTCCTAAGCTTAAATAATCTTAAATCACCCCTGTGAATCCCCCTCAGTACAGCACATGTAATGTCACGATTAAGAGCGTACACTTTGCCATGAAAGCCCTGCCAGCGCCGCGTCAGGGTGAGGAAGCGGTCACAGACAGGGTGTGTGAAGAGCTCTCCTTTCACCGCCTTTCTTCTGTCTGCTCCGTCTCAGAGTGACATGCAATTCATACCTGCCGTATTCTGTGAGCTCTCCTCACTGATCCTGAGGTGCAAATCCCCTCCGCCCCCCAGGCAATGGCCAGGCTCAATGTATCACAGCCTTTAGAACAGCAAAGGAACACAGACGGCCGGGCGGACACACGAAGACAGGAAGGCCGAGAACAATGCAGGCGATTGTATGAGGATAAAGTGGCAGGCAGGCTGCTATCGGAGAAAGAAAGTTGGAGAAGAGAAAGCGGAAGACAGTCGGGCGAGGGCGCGGCCTACAGAAGCAGACAGCGAGAGGCTCCGGGGGCGGGGCTACGGGAGGGCTGACGGGTGACAAGGTCAGCGGGACGGGGCCATCTTCTCCCACCTATAATTAGATCCTCCGCGGGCGACGGGAGTGTGTGGTGGCACACTCTAATCTTTCATTTCCACTTCGACTCCACCTGCTGTTTAGGAGTGCGGCACACAAATGGAGGTCTTAGAATGAAGGGAAAAGACTCGCACGCCCACTGCTTTCATCAGGATCATCGTTTGCTGTTGTGGTGTAATTTTTGTCAGCTGTGTGCCACGTGCTCCCTGGCAGATAGAACAGGGATTCTTGTCGTTCACTGCAGCTTGATATTTAAAAAACAATTGCGCTTTTGTGAATCTAACGCATCGTATTCCGGTGTAGCCGGAGGACGCCTTTTGTCAAAGGGGCACGGCCAGAGTGTACATCTGCCTCTGCGTTTTTAACGCCCACTTGTCCGCAGGTTGGTTAAGATCATTGAGTGGAAAAAGTAGCCACGTTTTTTTTGTCAGTGTCTCGCACACGGAGACAAGTCGCATGTAAATATTGCATATTCCCGAACTTCAGTCTGTGAGAGCAACATCGAGGTCTTGATTGACTGTCATTGGACGCCTTGCGCCGCACAAGAGCCCCGGAACGTTCCGACGGTAGCCAGCGTACAGCCACTCCTCCTCCTCCTCCTCCTCTTCCAAGTCATCATTCGCAATTAAGTTAGTGTTGGGAGCTGTCTAAAGCAGCATGGCACCATGTGCCTTAATGAAAGCAGCTCCCACTCCTATCTTTATATCTTTAGGCCGTGGTAATAAGGTAACTGATTCAGACATTGACAGATGGCCTCTGCTTGCCTCTCCGATATGCATAATTATGCCACTAGTGTCTGCTCTCTCCCACAGTGGCAGGCAGCGCAGGGAATGCAGGTAGGAAACGCCGCAGCGGTGGGGTCTAGCTTTAATATACATTACAATACATTATTTATAAAGAAGGCAGACCGGTCCTACCCTTTTACACCATGCACATCCTGTAATGCATTACCGCTGCTGTGGTTTCTACTGGGACTGCGGGATGCTCGCGTAGTGCTTTACCAGGAATACTCAGCCATTATATCACTCAGTCCCACGGGCACATTTTTTCTGACCTCCACACAGCATGCAGTCCACATTTGTATCCTGTTTATGTAGATTTGTGTCTGCATTACAAGGTGGTTGTTGGTGGTATTCAAATTTTTGCATGAGGGATCACTTCTCTGTTACATGTTAACTACGTGAATGGGAAGTTGGTTTCTTTTTTTGTGGGGGGGGGGGCGGTGGGGGAGAAGTTTTCTTTGTCAAAACAACTTCTTTTTTTTTTCCCCATGAGTGAAAGAAAGCCGTATGTTCAGGAAGATATACTTTACAGATTGATGGTTTATTTAGTTTTCTGCTGCAGCTGAGAATTATTGTGTGAGGGGATACTTGCAGTATCGTCACTGTTTGCGAGTGCAGGAGGTCACTCATCAGCGCTGTCCATGCCGTTAGAAGTCCTCTTCGATTTCCCACCAAAGTGCAGCAGTTTTAAAATAGATCTCCCTAATTAGGTAATGGAACAAAACAACAAAAAAAAATCTCTTAGGCATTTAAACAAAGTTCTGGCAAATCCTCATAAACATTTTCATCAGTGGAGGGAAATACAAACAAGAAATTTGTATTTTTTTCTCCTCCTCTTGTTTATGCTACAGTAATGAGCCTGGGATCCGCGCTTTTCAAGAGTTTGACGACAGTATGTTCCTTTCTGCGAGAGGGAGGAAATGTGACAGCTAAAATCTTCATAAAATAACGGCCTTTAGATGTGCTTTTCGCCAAGACTGAGCGAGATGAATGTGCTATACATCAGCAGTGACTGCAGAGGGGTCACCCAGAGTTCTTGGCTGCACACAAGGACGGGACCTGTAGATGGAGCTACAGCACTGCAGGAAACACCAGCCGAGGCGCTAAGGAAGGCGAGCGGTTACCCTTCTCCACATTGGTGGGAACGGACGTGGAGTGAAGTCCTCCACTGTGTGCGTTACACCAAGAGACGCCAGTTCCTTCCACCAAAAAAAAGAAGGGAAGAAAGAGGCTAAATGAGTGTGTATTAGACAACCAAACTAATCTGTTTCAGAAGTCGAACGCTGAGAACAATTTAGATGAAATGGATGAAAGTAAAAGAAAATAAGGGATCATTTACATCTGAAAGCTGGTTTTGAGCTTCGCTGTCATTAGATCGCTTTAAGTATTTAAGTAGAATTAATATTTTAATATATGTGGTACCTCATCTGTCAGGAGTTGGACTAGAAAGAAACCTGTATACCTTATGTGAGTATTTGAACTGCTTTTTCTTTTTGTCATTGCCAGGTAGCAACCGCTTTAGACATTATTTGACAGCCTGTGAAATGCTGATTGCTTCACATCACACACTGTAAAGATGGCATTTGATGAATGTTTGATGCGATGCAGCTGTAAACACACTTGGCAGCTGCGACGGGCACTTTTTGGGGGCCGATAGAATCACCGTCTCCCCAGATGAGGGCAGGACGGGGTCAGATCTGTCTCCAGAGGTCTCTGGAGGCCACCTGTGCCGAGCCGCCGCGGCCCGGGGGCCATTAACCAGCGCACCAGCCTGGCTAAGATCAAAGCCACAATCAGGCTTTCCATAATTGTTCTGGTCGACGCTGTCCCTGAAAACGAGATGAGTCTCGCATCTGCGGCTTTGCGGTTTTACTGCATTGCGGTGCGGCCGAGCTCCTGTGAGAACGGCGAGACTGTGCGCGCCTGTGAATCGTCTCCCCCGTTTCTGCTCTGCATCTGTTTTCCCTCCGTTTTTTGAAAAAAAGTTCCAGGAGTGTGTTTCTTCAGTCATGGGGGTTATGCGCTCCGTCTCACGAGGCTGTGGGAGTTCTCACAGACTGCAGTGAGGATGCGTGTAGTCGAGCGAAAAACGATGACAGCGACGGTGTCATTTTGAGTCCGACTATCTATTAATAATGAAATGATGCTACGAATACACTTGCAAACTGCTCATCAACGCCTCTTGATCTAACACAGTAACCTTTAAACACGTCCCCTCATTGGTGGGATTAATGCGTTTTCCTGCGTTAATATTCGCTCCATTTGTTTTCCTACGTTTTACGACCTGGATTTCAGGTTTACATCATCTGGCTGCACCGAGTACAACAGGAAGCGTTTTTCATCCGCGCATCAGTTGCACTCGGTTGCTTTAAACCTTTCTGTGTGCTGCGTGTTTAACCCCGTTGTGAGGGGCCGTATCATAATGACTGCCTTTAGCATACTCGCCACCTTCCTGGTCACAGAGGACACCTCTCCCCAGGCAGCTGAGGCGGCGACCTGTCCGCCCCGCAGCGCCGGTGTTTTGGGGGCCCGGTCTTGGCCCCCCGACGCGTTAACGCGCACGTGAGCTGAGCCGATATACACAGAGAGAGAGAGCCCCACCTCCTCGGGGAAGGGGGGGGGGGGGGGGCTCGCATGGCGGATCTGTCACCCAGGAGGTCGCTCAGTGTTAACGCTCCCGACACGGATTAAACACTAGTGGCCAGTGCTGGAGTGCAGGGTCAGTGTAGCCAGCACTGACAGGCACCACGGGGCCCCCTCTACCCCACCCCCCCAACCCCAGCATGTGTCAGGCGGGCGGGGGCACGGCGGCCGGAGCTCGCCCTGTGAGCGGATGCTGATGCCTCAGTGCGTCGATAAAGAGCCGTGGCGTTAACCAGCAGCTTGCCTTTTTGTTTTGAAAACGGCAAAAGATAAGTAGTACAAATTAGATTTGTTTCACGTGATAATGATGGTAAATTTGATAGTTCTGATAGTACTTTGATAGTAAAAATTTCAGTAAGCAAAGAATTACAGTATGTATGAATGTTGCTTTAAACAATGGCTTATTTTTGCATAGAAATTGAATAGTGAAATACTCTCCAGGACTGTTAGAGAGGATTTTATCCCGCTGAAGAGGGACATGATATTCCCCATTTTATTGCTCTTACTGGTGTATATAGCCCCCACACCCCCTCTCTCTCCAGTAGGTACGACTTGAGCTGAGCGTATTGTGAAATATTTATTCAGCGTTCGCTCAGAGCACCATGGCTGCCCACACTCTACCTGCCCCGGAGAGAAATCTTATCTGTGCTTCCTGTGCCTCCGACACCCCCCCCCCACCTCCTGAAAGCCCGTCCCCACACTGGCCCGAGCTCAACACAAATTACATGTCTCATTGCTCTGCGTTTACTGCTACTTTAAAGCCTGCCGCTCCGGTCCCCAACATAAGCCCTCAGCCAGACTCTGTTTCAGCCGGGCGACCTGCACGAGCTGATCTGCTACTTGTGCCTTTGATCCATTATTAATCTCCTTTTTTGGTATTTTAATTGAGGAAGTAATGCAGATTAATTATTGCTGCCCTCGATTTCACCCCCCGAAACAACGTCCAAGACAATTCATGATTTCTTTTTTTAGAGGTTCCCATTTGTTCTTAATTTTAACCAAACTATTTATTATAAAGTGCATATATAGCCCATATTAACACATTGTCATGTCCACAGATCCTGCTTCTTTTTTTGTCCCTTTGTTTCCGGCTACGATCTTTTCTCCCGCCCCCCCCCCCCCCCCCGGGAGAGTGTGGGTGGCAGGAGCTGTCATGCTTGCTCAGCTTTAAGTTATTTTATTCGCACTTTTAATCGCTGAGTGCTTTATTATTAGGTGCTGGATTCTGCTGGCCAGGGGATCTGCATGAGAAGGCGCGGAATGCATTTAGAGGAGTCGTATTAATGGCACTATAAAACAAAACTGTCAGGCTGTTCTTAACCCTACTGGCAGAATCGCTCTGCCCAGGGTTGCCCCCTTCTCGAAGCGCTTACAGGTGGCTAAGGAGAGTGCATCTCCATCATCTACTCCCCCGTGTGCTAATAGTATTATTAATTCGTTCTTTTTTTTTTTTCCTTCTCCCCAGGCACCTTGTGAATAATCATAGAGACATTTTTCAGCTAAATGGTGTTTGTCAAGGGAGTTTTCCTACATTAGAGAAACTTCTCCCAGACATGCACGCTAACACACTTGTTCAATTACAAGTCATTTGTTATCCACTTCTGCTGTGTGTGTGAACCTAAATGCTCAGGTGGATCAGTAATTAATACATCCCTCGCTTTTGTTTGTCGCTTTATGCTCTTCTCGATTAAATAAATGACTTCTACCCCGCTCCTGCTGCGACATATTAGCATTACCGTGTTTAAAAAGTACACGGTTTTACTTGTCACGTGTAATTTTTTGACGGATGAAAAAAAATGCAGTTGGGCCCTTAAGACTGAAACGGAGAGCCTCTTTGGTGGCAATTAAAATGTGGATTCTTTTTTTATACGAATTTACACTTACGCCTGAGAGGTTGCACTTTGTCCAACGTGTCCTTTAATCACTCAAGCTGCTCGCTAATAAAACATAAACCACTTAGTGGGGAATTAGCTACGTCTACATTTCACAGAAACTCAGGAGAATGTGGGGAGACGGGGGATAGGTTTAGTCCTGCCTCTGCTCATTACTGTGGGACGTCTCACGGCAAAGTCTCAGTCTGTGCACCTGAGTGAAGGAATCCGAGAGGTTTTTCCCAGATGTTTCTCTCCATCTTTTTTTATTAGTGTTAAAAAAAAGCATGTAAATCCTGAACACATGGGCTGACATACCATGAGGGAGGAATTCAGAAGATATTTCTGACAGTCTTGGTTTATACCCTCATTTAAGCACTCAGTTTAGACACAAGGCATTGTATTTCTGTAGGCTTTTATCTTGTCCACTGAGCCGGAACGCGGAGAGTAGAAATTTGCATTAGTGGGCGATTATGAATACCTGTGACAGATTCTCCCTGCCGGCTCCCTGGGCGGAAATGAATTGGCTCTCTCTGTTGACTTGCACAGGAAGACAGAGACCAAGCAATTAGACTTTAGTGGTTAATGTAGCAGCTTTTGCAGGGAGGGCAAGGAGGTTCAACATTCCTGCTGGGCTCGTGTCAGTTTCCAGGCAAATACCCCCCCTCCCCCCCATTTCTTTTTCCTTTTTTTACGAGGATACTGTGAATATGACAGGCTACCTGTCTACCAGCCAGCTGAATTCCTCTGGGGTGAGGGCAGCGTCGCTTTCGCGTCGCCTCATGGGAACCGAGGTGACAACACATGACGTAGGTTATTCATAACAGAGATGAGATGTGCTGCAGCCACCTCTGCACATCATGCATATTCATTGTTTACCTTTTCTCTTCTCATCCACAACCAGCTAGTTTGTTGCCGCATGCGTAATTCAAATGAGCTCTTTAAAAAAAGAAAAAGAACATATTGTTCCTAATGGTAGCGGCGTCCTGCTGCGTTGTGCCTCACCAACTGTCTCCCAGGTTGCATTAAGAGACAATAGGCAGTACAGCGGTGAGGCCCTGGGCAGTCGGACCACAGTGTTGTCTGCATTAGTCACGGTTCACGTTTCCCTGGTGGCTGTTTGAACCGAGGCCCCGTGTGGCGGTAGGTAGACCGGCCCCCAGAGCGGTGTACGGTTGCTTTGACAGGAGCAGTCTGCTGTTTACAGACCTGCTATTGAGGCCTGAAGGCCCCAGTGGTTCACATCCTGTCCTGGGCTTAACTCGAACATATTGTTCATCGTCTAAGTGGCCTCAAGCACTTGAGCCCAGACTGCACAGTGCAATCATCGTGCAGGTTCAGCGTAGCAGTTTTAACTAATTATTTAAAATAAACTTATAGAAAAAACAAAGTAGAAGGAATGTAAGTGCAAAATGATCCATTCATTAGCGAGCATTTTATATAAAGCATCAGGGAAAATATCTATGCTGTAAATGGAACTGGACCATATGTTGGCTGTATTGGTACACAATCACACTTATAATAGATTTTAAGATTCAACTTGCTTTGGGGGGGCTTTTTATTTCATCCCTGTCAACCAGCTGGTGTGATCTCCCCCCCCCCCCCCCCCTCACACATTCCAGATCGCTTCAGTTAGAGACGGACTAATTAGGCTGTCACTAAATGGGTTTAAATGCAGGCGTCCAATTAGTCCTCTGCTGTGAAATGCAGTGGGTGTTGTGCAACGTGCTTAGCACCACTCCTTTACAGAATTATGAGGGATTACTCATTCAGTGTGATCCATCTTATTTCTACCAGGGGTCTTGGCTTTTCTCAGTATCATCGCCATGGAGGGGGTAAATGTTGCAAATGCTTCTCCAGTTGCCATATGCGCCTCGTCAGAGAGCCTCGCTGCTTCCGCATCTAAGAGGATTTGATGTGCTAGTTAAAAGACAGCATAGCATGCCTATCCATGTCAAACTTTCTGTTTCGCAGTAAGGCACTCTGCCAGCACACTGATATTGGTGCATATAAGTAGGATTTCACGATATCAAAAGTTGTCCCTGAATGTCTGTTACTTTTAAACCACTGAGAGTCAAATCTGTCACCATCGGCTGTAAATCTCAGCGGCTTCATAATCTGCAGTGCTCCGTGCAGATTCAGGACGTGGTTAAATCCATTATACATTTTGTTTTGGGAACAGGCTTGCTGAGATTTGAAAGCAAGGTCCCTGCTATAGCGTGATGGGATTTGCGTCACACTGTCATGTCCTGTCTCCTCAGATCTTCCTTGTGACGGTGTGGCACTGGGAGCTCTTCATGCTGCCTCTGTTCCTGCTTCTGCTCATTGGTTGGCACTACTTCCAGCTCACTGCGGGGAAGACCAGTTCCAACCAGGACCTGGTGAGAGACGACGACTCCGGACTCTGGCAGCATTTATCCGCACGCGTCTTTCGATGCATTTCAACTCTGGTCGAACCCTGTTGGAGTGATGGAATACTTTTTTCACACATTGGAAAAATAATGTCAATCAACAACTCTGTTGGCTGTAGAAAACCAGACACGGTCTATAAAATGCCCCTCACACTACAGCTGGTTTTTAGCAGCATTCCGCGTTTTATAGCCGGTTAATTGTTTCTACGTTTTTCCGGAGGTCCAGTCCAACGCCAAGAACAAAGAAGCGACTAAAATCTAATCCCCTGTAAATGTGCATATAAGTTATAGTCTGTTGATTTTAGTATTGTCACCTCTGTGAATGCAGGGCTGTAGTTCTCTCCACAACATGCCACCATCTCCCCTCTTTCTACTGTTATGAAAAGGACGTTTGCCCTGCCCGTGTCTGTGAAGGTTAACAGACACCACGTTCGTTTCACTGCGTTGTGAAGCCTTCTCACCGGCCAGCCGAGGGCCGGGCCTTCTCGCACGCCCTCCCCGAAGCAACATCCCCGGCCCCGGTGATTTGTGTTTTAACGGCTGCTGGCAAAGATGCCGTCCCTGGGCAATGTTAAGGCCCGGGCTCGCCCTCGTATCCAGTGTTGAGACACTGCCACCCCTCTGTGACCCTCTGGCTGGCAGTGACACCGCTCTGTTCCCAGGCAATGTCATAGCGTGCAACACATTGGGGTCAGGGATGACTTGATATAAAGTGATCTAGGCAACAGCATCCAAATTAAATGTGTTTTCTCTCTCTCTCTCTCTCTCTGTCTCTGTTTTTCTGTGCGCTTATGTTGTGGAGAAATGAGATTGCTTTGGTGTGACAGTGCTGTTGTGAGGAAGGCCCTCTTTCACCTCTCCCTTTTGTGTGAGGTCACCCCTGTGATGCAGTCTCTATGGAAACAAGCCTCTCCCAATAGGGGTGAATGTACTCAAAGAAAATTTCATTACTAGGTGTTTGTTAAAAATGCTCCAGTGCCCACATGTCCCGTTCGTTTGAAATCACCCTCTACCCTTTATTTTCTCTCAGGTGAACATGAGCATGGGTGACGACGAAGACGAAGACGAGAAGGTATTTTATCTTGTCTCTTTCTAACATTTTATCGGATAATATGTTTTGGTGGAATGTTATCGCTCCTCTGTTTTCACAATACACATGAAAACATCTTTTGGGATGATAAATAAAAACAAACACTTTTAGCATTTCACAGGGACACAAAACAACTTATCAGAAGCTTGAACCCTGCTAATATGTCTTACTGAATAACCAAGGTTAAATCAAACACACAACAATTTCTGCATTGCCTTGGATAGTTACAAATTGTCTTCTTATACAAACGAATACTTTTTGTAAAATAGATTATATTTTTGAAAATGTATAAATCGCATTTAAACAGCCACAGGTAAGCCGGTAGATTTCTTTTATGTTCCATACTTTTCTTGATGGGTTAGTTGTGTAGAGAATGACCCTTTACTACCAGAAGAAAAGAAAAAAGTACAACACAGCAGTAAACTTTACTTTGCCCTAAAGGTTATCCGTCATTTTCACTTGTTCGTTTATGAGAAATCATAAATGATCATTTTTATTAATGCGCCCCTCTCGTGTCTCTTGACAAACAAAACCACAGGAAATGTTTAAGTAGCCTGAAAATTATACTTCCCCACAGCACACAATATTCAATTACGCTCATCCCACTGTTTTCTGTAAAGAAGGAAGAGCTAACAGGGAAGTGTATTATTGCTTTATGGCAATGAAGTGTGGAGCTAACGCAAAGCCTCCAAGCGATGACCCTTGTGCTGCGCGTCTAGGCCCAGGATTCATATCCATAATGCGCTCAATATATTCTGCTGTGATGACCCGGGGCTATAAAAAAAAAAAAAAAAAAAAGCCAGCTTCTTTTAAAAAAAAAAACACAGGCACATCCACCAAATCCTGTCTGAAAGGATGGGCTAATTCCCAGATGAAACTCGCATGATACGTCCGCGCACACAAAGTGGGAAAGCCGCACATGCTTTCATTGCTCGGAACAGGCGAACTGGTGCTTGAACAAACGGCAGTGACACCGACATTTCTGTGTGTTTATGAATATTGAATCAGACAGGATTACCACTGAATTGGACATCACAGCGATATAGAATGATTATTACGTTTGTCTTTACCTTGAAACCTCCGTATACGGTATAGTAGAACGTTTACCATTTACGTAGAAAAGCTGCGTCTTTAGAAAGGTTCGAGATCCTCTCAATAAGCTGCGTGCGTTTGCAAACTTTCCATAAGCCCTTTCACACTCGCAGGAAACGAAATATCTCCTTTCATTTACTAATTAAGCAGTCACCCATGTTTGTTTTAAGCTGTCAGCTTTAATTTAAAGTGGCTTTTTTGAAAGTCTTGTTATGGTCCTGCTGTCGCTTGAGTGTGATATCATGCAGCTTGATCAAGCAGTGCAGCTTTACCCCTCCTATCAAAGTCTTCTTTAAAAATGTTTGGGGTTAAAGAGTGATCAGTGTTAAATTTGATGACTTCAAAGTCCCCCGCCCCCCCTCTAACATGTGAATAAAGGCTTTTCCCTCTGAGAAGGTTATGATTACCACTCAAATATGTTTTGTTTTTTTCCCCCATGAGGAAGGAAATATTCAGACCTCAGACAGCAGCAAGAAGGCCTGACGTTAAGAAGAGACGAAAGGCAGGGCGGTGTTACAGTAGGATAATACAGAACAGATTCTCTGACTGTGAACAAATCTGTCCTCAGGGAAGGAGACGGCTTACAAATTATGTGTGGGCAAAGTGACTTCCCTTTGGCCTCAGGTATCAATTGTGCAGATAGGCGGTATTTAATCATAACATAAAGATACAGAGAGGCAAAACAAGTCCATAGATAAACGCAAAGGGAAGATGAAACGGCCCTTTCATTGCCCCCACCCCCTCCCCCCCTCCCCCCAGCTGGTATGGGTTTGACTTGCTCCCAGTGCCTCGCCCAGGGGACTTCGAGGGGGGTGGAGGGGAGGAGGTGATTGTGGTGGGGGGGGGGGGGGGGGGGCGCTAGACACTGGGCCGGGGGGGTTACTCCATCTCTCACCCGATAGTCCGGCAGCCAGCGCTGGGGCTCGTCGGGCGCAGCGGCCTGACAGGCTGCTTGTGTCGTGATCACGAGCGCTACCTCACTCACACCCGCCAGCACATTAAAGCCTTCTTTCCGTTTTATCTCAGCAAATTGTTGTTGGCTTTCTTCATCTCCACGTTATATCATTTTCCTGGAACACAGGTGTTTTTCATTTAGATGCACTTCTTATCTTTCTCGAAAAAATAAATTCCGTCTTAGAATTCAAATTTGGCATAGTTTATTCTAATTAGAATGATGCAAAATGAGCCTTTTTAAGCCTTTGAAAGCAGACTCCTCATCTGTGAGAGTGTGTTTACCTTTGTGCAAAAGATCAAATTGGTTCTCCATTACCACACCTTAAAAGCAAGCTTTTTACAATTTTATCTGAAATGAGAATATGATTTCACACAGTTTCTCTAATCAGCAGACATTTAGGATTCATTTAGTTCATCCCCACTTTACCCATCCTTTCCATTTCAGAAGGAGATTTTTTTTCTTCTAAGTTTTGTTTTCTCTTCACTCATGTGCATGCTGAAAGAAACATGAACAAAGAATGAAGAATATTATCAAATGATTAATGTAGGACTACACATTCGGTCGCTACGGAGATGGCGGACTTCAAGAATCTTAAAACACATGAATAATGATAATCACGAGAGCATTCTTTGCCGGTCGATGCATACTTCAGAGAACATCTATTTGTATCTTCTTCCTTAAGAAATGAAAGCCAATATGGTGCCTCTTTTTTTTCTCTAGCTGGAGCTGTATTTCTGGCTAAAAGTACTTTGCTGGTGTCTCCAGTGGAGTTAAATAATGCTTCATATCTCTCATTAGGTAGGAATTCTAAATTGCATAATTGGTTCGCTTAGACAACTTTAAATGGAAAAATAGAAAGGAATGTGAGCCCAACTGATGAGGCTTAATATCTAGAGAGATATCATCTGTCAATGCGAGGCTCTCTGCATCCATCAGGTGCTCACTGCCCACATTGTAATGGCTTTTAGCAGACTCCACCGCTGCTCCACGCTTTTAAAATAAACTGTGAATAGACAGCCCAATTAACACCTGATGTGGAGTAAAGGACACGCATGATGGTTTGCTCGCCCCCCCCACCACCACCACCACCACCTCCCAGTGGAGGGGAGAAGGATAATGCATGAACATGAACACACATAGTCCTCTTTCCCCACGACGAGACCGTGAGATGTTAATCTCAAAGAAGGCATATTTGTGTATAGTTTTTCCTTTTTTGGACAGTGGCGAGCCCCCAGTGTCTCACCAGACCCGGGCCTAGTGGGGGGGGGGGACTCTGCTAGTGTGGGAATTGCTCTCTTCCTGCGCCTTTAGTGGAGAAGAGCGAGCCCGACAGTGGGAAGTCCCTACGTGCTGGCAGAACGCGTGCTCCCGGGGGCTCGCTCATGAAGCTCTGATGGAGGCATCTTGCCTGTCAGTGCACACGGGCCGTGGCTTGTAACGTAAACATATAGACATCCTGCTAGGGTCCATCGGACCGCCCACCCACTCCAACACGCTCATCCCTTCTTCCTCCTCTGTCATCATTCCTGTCATTATTTCCTCCTTTTGATGTGAGGCTTCTCCGCTCCCTTTAGCTTGTGTTACTTGTGTTATCTCCAGTTGCTTCACACCAGTTGTTATTTCTAGCCCCGATGGGATGACATTTCATTTTTTTTTTTTGAGACCACTCCAACCCCCTCACATGTTGATTCATTCCTCTGCTAGAACCAGTCAATATTATATCAGTGCATTAAAAAGCAAATCGTACTTTATGTGCGGTGTTTGTAGACGCGTAGACAATAGATAAGAATCGCGCCAGTGAAAGGAGTGAAACGAGTGCTTTTCTCAAATCGGAGAACGTGTTGGAGTGGGTCACCAAGCCGAAACCTGACAGATTTGCAAAAACATGTTCAAACTTCTCCCTTTCCTAAGTCGCGAAGCCCCTGCACTCGTGGTCGTCCATTCCGGCTGATTGCGGAAGGCCATTTTGTGTACTTTTCATCTACCGGCGTCTTGATTGTGGCGCACTTGTGCAACAGCTCTATTGTGTGTGTGTGTGTGTGTGTGTGTGTGTGTGTGTGTGTGTGTGTGTGTGTGTGTGTGTGTGTGTGTGTGTGTGTGTGTGTGTGTGTGTGTGTGTGGTGGACAAAAGCTGAAATCTCTCAGCCATCCACACAACCGCTTCAGAGCACCGAGTCCGTCTCATCTCCTAAAGCATATTCTGAAGCTGTGCAGTGTTTGCTCATTACGGGCCATTCAATAGATAAATCACACATAATCGCACGGTAGAGATAAACTGCTCTTTGTCTACGCTGGGCAACAATTGACATGCAGCGTACCTCATCAGTGTCTGTGCATTTCTTTGTTGTTGTTTCTTTTTTTAGGAACCGGGGAAAAAGGGTTTGATGGATAAGATATATATGGTGCAGGAAGTAGTGCTGGTTGTCCAGAACGTTTTGGAGGAAATTGCAAACATCGGAGAGCGGATCAAGAAGTAATTTGACCATTTTAAGTTCATCCCCACAGAATTATATTAACTATCATCATTTTTTTTTATAGCGCTTCAAATTAATCTGACACAATATTTCTTTTATAGCATCTTCAACTGGTCAGTCCCTTTTTTGTCGTGCCTCTGCTGCTTGGTGCTGTTTGTGGCAACTGCGCTGCTGTATTTCATCCCACTGCGATACATTGTGCTGATATGGGGTAAGTTCTCCATCTAACAAACACACTTTCTCCAAATGCTACAGAAAAGAAGTGACAGTAATTGTGCAATAAAAACTATATTGTGCGGATACCAACACAGCATAATAGACCAACGCCCATGCCATTGTGGTGTTAAACACAATGGTTCTATCCACAGCGGAATATCCACGATTTAAACGTGCACAGTAGTTTAAGAGCCCTGCCGTGCCTGCACCTCTGCAGAGGCACAGAGCTCAGACAGCGGCCGAGGTTTTGCGCCGCTCAGTGTGGGCTGCTGCAGAGGCGAGGCCCAAGGTTTGTGTGAAAACAAAGCAGAGATAGAGTAGCAAGCCGTATATAATACATGATGTCCTTGGGCAGTCTGTGGGCTTCTGGTCTAGCCTCTCATTATCCGCTGTAGTCGTACAGAACAGACAGTCATCTCAGTGGTCAGGGAGATGTGCTGCCCTTAACAGGCTCTCCTCCTCCAGCTGAAAGCCCACAACCGCTGTACTTCCACGCTGCCTTCAACACAATCAATACCAAAAAAACCATCATATCAAACAAAAAACACACAGTCTTAGACATTCCTCTGCCTCCCCAGTTAACCCCCATCTCTGTGGTTGCAAGGCAAGCCTTTCAAGTTGCGCGCACATATTTAAGTCCTTAGGTCCTTTGTCTGCATGTTGAGGTACAGGCAGTACCAAGCTGAGAATATAATGGTCCCATTACAGGCCCCCAGATGTATTGTTGTTTTTTTTCCTTTGTTTTTTCCCCCCGTGGTATGCAGCCATGCAGCAAAGTAAATATAGATACGCTGGAAAGGATCAAGTTGAAGCAAACAAAAGTGAGGAAAAGTTTTTTTTTTTTAATAGATGACCGGGACTTATTTTCAAATCATTCACCTATCGTTATTCATCTGCTTTAATTGATTACGTATTGCTTCAGCTTCTCTCCATCTCCTCGGCCTGGCTTGAATTCATTCCAGCTAAAGGGAATCAATTGAAACCGCATCATATAATGAAGTTACCGATATACCGGTGGGAACTCTATACTGTAGAGACCCCAGATGGGGTTAGACAACTCTTTCTATTATTTCACTTTGTGCCCTGTAAAGTATGCTGGTTGGTATGACACCTTTATTTATTAATGTCTTCTTGTTTTCACAGGCGTTAACAAATTTACCAAGAAGCTGCGCAACCCATACGCTATCGACAATAATGAAATCCTGGATTTCCTCAAGAGGGTGCCTTCTGATGTTCAAAAGGTAAGGGTCCAATTTTACATACAGATAGGGAAAGAATTCCCCGTAGACGTCTGCATTATTTGCTGTACCAGAATTCCCAAGTGTTGCAGAAATGTATCCTCTGGCTTTGTTTGATTATTAATGGACTCTCACCTTTAAAGGAGCCCCGGCCCAATTATTCCTCAGCGCGGCGCCGTGTAGTTGCCATATAGCCCGAGTGAGGAGATGCTCAGATCCAGTCCTCAGCAATATCGCCGCAGCCTCATCCGTTATTAGCAATTTTGTCCGACCGATTGAAGCGGCGTGACATTAAAGTCGCTGACTGGCCGAGGGCTGGCAGACGACTCCTGACGAGTCAGCCCCCGGAACTCTGACGCGGCCTCCGTCACTTCAGGGTGGCGGAGTCAATTAATGTAGTCGCGAGCCCCAGTCGTCTTGCTGGGTGCCATATGTGATTACATATTAGCCGTGGCTGATGTGCCATTTGCATTTTACATCACAGAGCTGAGCGGAGCTGTCAGGGTCTGGTAAGTGGCGGCGGGCGAGAGCTCGGCGCTCTGACTCAGAGTTCTGCTCAGCCAGGAAATGAAGTGCCACAACGGTGCCTTCATCTCCCAGGTACCTCGCCAGACTGAATTCAGCAAGAAATCCTGACAGTCTGGATCTGGAAAGACACTCTCACCCCGGTCTGTTCCTCTGCTGCATCCTTGATGTCGTCCCGCAGCAAGCCGTTGCACACGCCCCTGTGATGTTGGAGGGAGCCTGTGTTGTTTGAGATTTGGCTGACTGAGTTGGCAAAACAAGGTGCTGAATACATTTTGATTCAGGATCCTTTGTGTGTCTTCTTTCCCATTGGGATACAATGTTTGAGCTTTGAAAATGACTCACTTTTAAATCTCACGGAAACAATACTTTTTAGCCTGGTTTAAAGGAGAAACTACATCTCGAAAATAGCTCCAAATCATAAAAAACAAAACACCCGTAAGATTCATCATAAGCACGTTTCATTATGTCCTGTGAAAAATAACCTTAACATCATATACACAGGAGACCCAAAACAATAGACCACACATTTTGTTTTTGTTGACTTAGAACTTCAATCCTCAGATAGGTGTGGCAACAAAAACACCACAAAAGGCTGAAAATTGACTCCTGTCTTTCTTGCAAATGTGACTTGGCAATTAGTGCCTCTGCACATCTACAAAGTCGGCCTCAAACGGGGACTTCTGACAACAATGTGTCTGTCCCGAAATAAGAAGCATCTGTCAGTTCTGAGGACAGTTTCATGTTCTGATGCATGAGGCAGTCACTTTGTTCCCACATTCCATCTCCCATTCTAATAATGGAGACCAACTAATTAGCATATACTTCTAGTCAACAGATTCACCGTATTGTTGCAGCTCAGCTAGCATGCTTCAAAAGCAACTTTTCAAACTCCAGTTCTTCTCCTTTTCAGTTTTAACCTGTAATGAGTGCTGTTTGGATTATGGGGGGTGGAAATGAACAGTGAATAAAAAATATTTCATGTCAAAGAGAATCTGTTTTTACAACATACATTCATTTTGTTTGTCCATTTAAACATGGAGGCATTCCCAGGAAAATACACATTTATAGATTAGCAAAGTTCAGATGTCATATTTCAAGGTCAAGAAAATCCAAGTCATACCAAGGGGCTGAAGAGCCGCGGAGAAAGTTCCACGTCAACTGATGTTGGTTTTCTTAAACAGCAGCGGCTTTACGCAGCACTGTTCTCGGGCATTAAAGTTTTCTTTCACTCGAAGTGAATGATTATGCAGTTTGCAACTCCCTCACTGGCCTGGCAGGTCATGCCAGCAGTTGATTTCTGTTTCTAATATTGTGACTGTGGTGCAGAATGGGGGGGGTACGCTGGTACGGAACCCTTGACTCTTCAAATCCTTCCTCCCTGTGATTAATCCCCTCTGCTCCTGTGTTTAAAAAATGATTCATTACAGCCGAGCCCGCCTGGCTTTCCCCCTGCACCGGCCCCCCTCCAGGGAGCCATTACCGCGCGCTCCGCTGAGCTCGGATTACCTGCCTCCGACCAAACTCCTGTTTGTTTTTACAGGTGCAGCGCAGCGCTCTCAGGGCGCCCGCCAGCCAAAGCCAGCCGCGGAGGAGAAAGTAAGCGTCGGTGGATGAAAGGCTGGTCTCCTTTTTTTTTTTTTTTTTTTTTTGGAATACTCCACCACGCAGTCCACCTGACAACAATGCTCCGCTGCCAGCATGGCCCCATGACCCGCCCCATCCTCGCTCTCGGCCCCCCTGCTGCTGAGGGGCGGCCAGCCGCTCTGTGGCCTGTGTGTTTGCGCTCCCCCCCCCCCCTGACAGAGGCTGTGAACTGCAGCAGCAAGGAGGGCAGCACATGGCGCTGTCAATCACAAGCCTGGAGGTAAAGAAAAGACAGCGCTCGCCGCAAGACTCAGCCTTCATCTTTGGATATCACTTAGAAAAGGAATGGAAATCGTCGGGTCTGGCTTACCTTAACTTCCAGTTTTATTTTTTTACTTTCAGATGTCCAGTTAAGTTAATACAGGCTCAGCCATTTATGGAAATCAAATCACGGAAATAGTTTTATCTTCAGTCAAGTATTTTTATTATTAAAGATCAAAAGGTCATATATATCGCAATAGATTCTTAAGTTATAACCAAAAAAATTGGTTGGTTGGTTTTCTTGCACATTTAATATAATAGGACAGAGTTCTGAGTGCTATTCCTTTTGTGCTATGGATTTAAAGTGTATATAATATAATTCGGTCAGCATTGCTATAAATATATATTTATGTACTGCATTTGTTTGGGTTTTTTTTCCACCTGACTCATGTTACTGTATTAATTCAGACTCAGTATCTTGTCTGCTTCATCAAATGGAGAATTTGCAGGAATCCTGAATAAAGAATCTGGATCAGTTTGAGCCCTTGTTTTTTGCTCGTATTTTTTCAATATCTGCACTCTAGTGAGGATGGATTACACCACTTCTTTACTTGAATACACAGTAAACACATCTGATTACACAACACAGCCATTGGAACAGAGCTCACACACCGGCCACCGCTGTGCCTTGGTTACCGAGCTCACATCAAAGCTGTGGAGCTCCAGTGTGCTTCCTAATGCATTGCTTTGTTGCCTTCTCACAATAACAGGGTCCAGATGAGAGAGAAAGAGCTCATCTCACAGAGTACTCTCTCCATCCTCGGCACTAAGTGCTTTACATTTCCACTAAAATCACCTGGCCCATCCAATGGTTACAAACACACACATACTCACTTTGTCTGTCTCCCAACGATACGTTTTCCAAGAAGAACGTGTAGTAAATCATTTTTCTTTTCCATATTTAGTTTACATGAAAAAAAAATTCTAGACACTTGGATTTTTGTTTTTCAAAACAGTTGATTTTTTTTTATACTCCCACGAATGCCTTTCTGAGAGAAGATAAATTAGCTGCAGTATTCTACATAAGAGGAAGTTAAACATGCTAAAAAATGTTTTCTCCTTTACCGTCTTTTTATCTCTCTGATAGCAGACGAATGGAAACCGCTCTCTGTTTTTTTAAGTATTCAAATTAGCAACCAAAGTTGCTAGAGTCTTGGACCCCACCGGTGGGAGTTTGTTCTGATTGGGGGACTGAGCATCGTGGCTGCCCCCCCCCCTCCCCTCATCTCTGGTGAAAGAGCATCCATCTGTGCTTTGTGAGGAGTTTGATTGGCTCAGGGGGACCTGGTGAAGCCCCGGGCTATCTCTTTTGACAGCCTGATAGAGACATCACTGGACTCTCCCAGGATCTGCCACCAGGGGTCCATTTCAAAGTGAGAGGGTGTGGAGGTGACCCTGAGCTTCTGACGAGCTAAATCCCACACACTGGCTGAAACCCCTCGTAAATTCTGGCTCGCCGGGGCTCGGGGACTGGTTTTGACTGTGCTGGGCGGGGGGGGGGCGAAGCCGGGGAGGGGAGCGGTGGTTTGTGCAAGGAGGAGATCGCTGGGAAGAGCCGATGAAGTGTCCCCAAGAGTTGAAAGCAATTAAGCAATATTCCCAGGGAACTTATAACCGACATTTTACCAAACATTGAAATTGCAGCATCGGGACATCTAATGTCAGACATGTCATTGAGGGAAACGCTGCAAGGGTTATCGCGAGAGGTCGTACGGGAGAGTACGGTGCCTGCCTTCAAGCTGTCACGCCGTTGGTTGTGTGGACCTGAGGGTCACGGGCTTGGATGTTCATTCATATTCAGCGGATCATACAGGAGAGTTTGACAGGGTTACAACAATTGTTGATTCGGCTCTGCATGCACCAAAGCACACTTCTGCTACCTACTCAAACACACACACACACACACATATGTTTTTTTAGAGACGGGTGTAATGATATTTAAGGAATTATTCATCAACGTCTTTTTCTCCTGGGAGGGGTACAAATCTCAGCAGAGAAAGTCACCGTGCAATATGGTCCCCGCATGCAGTGGGGAAAATCCCTGGATGTTCTACAAGCTTGCTAATGAACATTTGAGCCTGAGTCTGATAACATTTCTTTTTCATTTTTTTAGACTAGTTGTTGTTGTTGTGCATGCTATGGCAGTGATGTCTTCATCAGGCTGTCAAAAAGGAAGTGCCTGCAGCTGTGGCGGATCCCCCCCAGAGCCTGTCACACTCCTTGTTTCCATGGCAGTCCTTCAGGCAGCACCACAGGCTGGCTGTGTGCAAGGACCCATACAACCTGTTTTTCCAGCAGCCGCTCCTCTGATGTTCAGCCCCGGAGCGGGCGTCAAACTACCAAGTGCAGAGAGAGAGAGAGAGAGAGATACAACACTGCAGCCTTTCTCTTTGTCGCAGTTCTGTGCTGCTTTACGAGGAGATGCGAAACTCATTTGAATAAACCACTATTCTTACCACCTCTTTAGCGATTGTTACATGTGCAGTGCTGACCTCCTCTCCGAGAGACATTATTTGCACAGTAGGACAAAGTCAGAAAAGCAGGCCTCATGCTTGACTGACATATGTTGAAGCTCTTATGCATGCGTTTTGGCTTATGCTCGGTCTGTTTGCACCACACGAGAAGCGGGTCACGTGAGCGAGATCAGTGGCTGTGCTCCCAACTGGCCTAAATTAAAGGGCGCACAGGTTACGGTCCGCCTCCAGACAGGACCTCGACATCAATAAAGACTGAGTCCGCCAGGGCATCGACTCCATGGAAACACAGTCCGAATGACGGAACAGACGGGAGTTTGCTGCAGTGAGATTGTTGTTCCTATGTGAGCACATCTACCTGAGGAGGCTGCATGGGGAGCTTTTAAAACGATGCGCCTGCCTGCATTTGGCTGCTCGTTCCAGATTGTGACTTAACCATTCGGCACATTGCTTTAGTCTCTTCCGATGATAGGATGTATAAATCATGGTAACCACGATTGATGTTGTCTCTGGGAATAAGGGAGGAAATCTGACTGAGATAACAACAGAGAGAAAAACCCTCGCTAATAGCCGCTGTTTTCAGTAGCTCTGGTTTAATAATGATTCATTTTGCGGCCAACTGTACTCAGTGGTGTTAAGACATGGCAGAAGCCATAATTCTTCATACCATCAAGAATGGAAGTTGGCCTTTAAAGAGCTGAAATTAAATCATTGGCCTTTAAAAGCATCTCTCTGAGGGCCACGCTGCATTAATACATTCAACTGATTCTGCTTTAATATTATTCAGAGTGCATTAAAACGAAGACAACAGCTGGGATCATGCCCGGTCTCGTGAGTACTGCTTGGGCCAATGAGGCCATGGGAGATGCAAAGCATGTCTGAGCGCAACCCTGCGTTGTGGGAGGGGGGGGGGCAGAAGGTCCCAGTGTTACAGGTGCAGACCTGACAGTTGCTGTTCCCAGATCAGAGGCTGTCAGGACTCACACTGCCCACAAGACACCTACTGCCTGCCTGAAAAACAGTGTCACACGGGAACAAACCTGGCCAATCAGGCCAGCTACTGCCACGATCATGAGAACTACGACAACCTTCACAGCGCTAAATGCTCTTTTGTTTGTTGCCTCTGTGTGGTATGAGCTTACTTCGTTATGGTAAAGGTAAACACTTGCTGGAGAAAATAACTGAGGAGGCGCTGAAAAAAGGAGAGGAAATACAGTGTTGAACGTCTGGTGTTACATCAGCGCTCTATAGTTATCACCAGCACGTGTGTCAGGACACAATACAAAGAATGATTGAACTGCATATTTCATTCTAATTAACAGAGATATAAGGCAATGTGACTCTCAGCCCCCTGAGGAAAGAGCACCGTATATTGTTTGATGAATCTGCTAAAGCCACAGCCAGTCTCACTACCTGCCCCTGGGGAATCAGGTATCATTAGAGATATGAAGTGATCCGCTTTTTCTCTCACTGAAAGAAGTGGAAAACACATTTCCTCCACGCTGGCACGCGGTGAATGTGAAAGTGTTCAATATTAATAGCCTTTCATCAAGGACACAATTAGGACACCTCTATTTGACACATTCTATAGGTTCTGAATGAATATGGATATCTCTTCCCAAGGAAGGAGCCGCTGGCTGAATAACATTTAAACAAACCCAGCAGAATGAAGAATGCACAGCACGGCAATCTAGGTATTTTGATCCAATGTGACTTTAAAAGAAGCAAGAGACTCTTAAGTGTTTTATTATTATTATTATAATTTACAGCCAAGGTCAAGTCTTGTATTTATCCAAATGAGCACACATCCCTGCTATACAAACACATAAAGAGGCTACATTTGTTTCATTTGGCACACATGACCTATAACTCCTCATACGGGGAAACTACATTGACACTACTTGTGTGTTCCGGCATCCCTGTTCCATTCAAGAGAATGAGGAAAGACACTTAAACACTGGTCGTGCATCAGTCAGAGGTTCACACAGAGCTGATCTGATTAGTGAGCGTGGTTTAGGGATATGTCATTTACTACACCAGAGGTTTGTGGTGCCGGCTGCGAACCTCGGGTGTGAAGAGGGCTGTGGTGAAGTGAGGAGACTAATCACATGTGTTTCACCCCTGAGCACAATCTCCTCCAAGCTCTGCCACATTATGACACCGGAGAGCCGTGTAGCACACGAGCACGGCTAGGCCCATTAACCAGAGCGGCTAATTATCGGCTCATACAAGGTCTTCAGGCTGCCAGGCAATGCATGCTCTCATTTCTGATTAAAAACATAAATGCATGCAGGAGGAAAAAAAGAGGATCAATTACAGCGAGGCAGGATAGATAACAGCCCCGTACCAGAGTAATTAGGCCGGCTGTTTCATCGGAACCGCTTGCTCTATGATGAAGGTTTAAAGAGTCCAGTGGCAGAAACACCACAACTGTGTTTGTTTTATTCATGCTGCTGCAGTGTCACCCACCGGGGCCCAATTAGCCGGCGACTGATGCCTTAGAAAACCATCTCGGCGCTCTTCTTTGACGGGAAATGAAAGCTGCACTTGCTTGCGTCCTTGTGAACCCGTGGACTTCAACCTGTGAAGGTCAGACTGGCCAACAGCGGCGGCTCCAACATGCCGCCGCCGCCTCCATCCTTCTTTCGGTGCATTATATTTCATACCGTTTAACTGTGTCAACAGAGGACGCCGGGGGGACAACGCGCCAGCGTCGGAGGTATTTAGGCTACAGATTCTCTCCTGGCTGATTTGATAGCGCTGCTCTGTAATGTATGTAACAGCCTATTCAGCGTTCCTCACCCACATGAGGCAGCACCACCATAAGGCCTGATTGCCAAGTTGGCTCGAGCTATTACACCAGCTTCAAACCGTTTGTCAAAGTAATTTCCTTAATTAACTTTGATGTGCTATGATTAAAATAGTATTTACCAATCTACATCATATACAGGCAGCACGCTGGGGTTGCATTTGCGTCCATGGAGGAGATGCATGTGTTTAACCACGA